TTAGTAAGAATAAGAAACAAAAGGGAAAATTAAAAAAAAAACTGAAACAACGTTATGCTATGTTCTCATTGCACTTTCAATCAAGTTGTTCGCTCTCAGAATTAGGTACACGAAATAACCCGTTCTTAGGGCACGATTCGTAATTCATAGTAAAATAATCCCTTTTTTCAAAAATTTTATTTGTTGATTTTAATGGGAATTTATACGAAAATACATGAAATTCTCACTAATATGAATAGAAGAAATTATTTGTTTTTTCTCCCAAAGATTTATTATAACATTAATTCTACAATTTTCATTCAATTTTTAAACTTTCTGTGTAAATGTTGACATTTTGAACATATTTTTGTATTTTTCTATTTTTAAATTCTGCTGGAGAGACACTTGTCAAATATATTTTCTGCCGATACAAACATTTTGAAAATATTGCCTCTTTTGTTTCCAGATTTCTATGGAAATTTCAACTCGTGGACAAAATGCGTACCTCGGATGAGAGAGAAAACAACATTTACTTTCGATTGAATGTACATACGCCATCCAACATTGTAGTTTTCATTCATAATTTTCAGTCTTCCCAAAATTTTTAAAATTTCATTAAATTTTTCTATTTTAAATATTTAAATGTCATAATTTATTTTTTCGGTAAATGCTCTCATTTGTTAGGGATGGGACATATATTTTCGTTGTTCTGAGAGTGATTTGATTTGAACAATGCACAAATATGAGTGTTTGCTCAGGAAATAAAAAACTGAAACAACAATTGTGTTCCAGAACCTGCAAATTAGTACTAATTAGCACTAATTCTGCTACAATGCGTTCCCGTACTCCAAAAACTAACTAAACTAAAAATGGCGCTGAGTGGTGCACATTTCTGCTTGTTTTAGCTACATGAATTTGGCCGATCAGAAATGTGCATATTGTAAATTTGACATTTAATTGGCAGGGCTGACAAGGTTGAAAAATGTATTGATACATTTCAATAAAGAAAATGCTCAATTTGAAAACTAAAGGAAAAACTAATATTTGTCGTGCAAAAAAACAAAAAGAGAAAATATGGAGCAACTGATGTATTCACTTTTGGATGATTCCAGCAGTGAAGAGGTCTGGCTGAATTAGGAATCAGATTATTAATTATTATTATAAATTATTAATTTTAACTTATCGTCTTCAATACTCATTTTTTAAATGATGGCGCTCTTTTCAGTAAGGTTTCACCAGTCCGATTTAGGCTGTTTACTTTTTGAATTTTGACATTTTATCGCATTTCTGCTAATTTTCCGTTCCCTTATTTTTTGAGCAAACCTAAATGAGAATGACATTTCGAACTGTTCTCTCTTCTGCTAGTTTTACTACTAAAAAAGTACTGGAACACAACTAACGTTATGATATGTTCTCATTGCACTTTCAATCTAGTTGTGCGCTCTCAGAATTAGGTACACGAATTAATAATTCCTTTTTTCAAAAATTTTATTTGTTGATTTTAATGGGAATTTATACGAAAATACATGAAATTCTCACCAATATGAATGGAAGAAATTATTGTTTTTCTCCCAAAGGTTCATTATATCATTAATTCTACAATTTTCATTCAATTTTTAAACATTTTGTGTAAATGTTGACATTTTGAACATATTTTTAAATTCTGCTGGAGAGACACTTTCAAATATTTTGAAAATATTGCTTCTTTTGTTTCCAGATTTCTGTGGAAATATCAATTCGTGAACAAAATGCGTACCTCGAATAAGAGAGAAAACAACATTTATTTTCGATCGAATATACATACGCCATTCAACATTGTAGTTTTCATTCATAATTTTCAGTCTTCCCAAAAATTTGTAAAATTTCATTAAATTTTTCTATTTTGAATTTTTAAATGTCATAATTTATTTTTTCGATAAATGCTCTCATTTGTTAGAGAGTAATTTGAATGGAACAAAGTACAAAAATCTTTGTTCGCTCAGCAAATTTTGTGTGGGGAATTAAGAATATTTTTCATAATTAATGGTCGAACAAGGAATAGAGAGCGAATCACGTGTGAACTTAGCATTAAGATCGACTGGTCTGAATTTTTCAGTTTTTTCACTATATCATGGTACAATGAGGAGGTACATTTCGTAAAACTACAGAAATAAACCCTTACGATATGCAACAAGTTTTTTTTTTCATTTTTTTTTTCTAATTTTTCCTCATTTTAAAAATGAATTAAATAGGGCGAAAAATGAATGAAATGCCTGGATTTTCTCTCAAAAATATTATCTAAACTGTTCATTATTTCAATTTGATGGCTAAACTGGTTAATAGCTTTAATGCCCGAGCCGCAATGTATGTGTCTTCCAATCATTGGCATTGAAAATATTTTGTTTCCATTTTTTTTCAAAACAATAAATAGATACACAAAATTGCCAGAAGTCGCCAGCTGGTAGATCTACCTTACCTGTTTATTGTACCATGCACTATATGAAATCTTGACTTTTGGGCCATGGTAGAAGAATACAGGTAGATGAATCAACGCTTGGGAACATACGTCAAAATTTTTTCAATGTTTTTTTTTTTTTTTTTTCAAAAATAAGTATATTTTTATAAGTTTTCTTATAAGGCACCAATCGATGATTGATACGATATGCGTTTTTCAAGTATTCTTACAAATTTGAATAATTTTTCATTCAAAATTGGTTTGACAGTTCATTGTCCCAGCAGCTGTGTCTGTTGCTCTCAAAGATCATAATAGCACGTTTATACTATAGAAGACCGTATTTAAAATAAATCCGATCGTGAAAAGATCTATTTTTGTAGAAGATTGTTTGTTTTTGTCAGAACAATCTCCTTCATGAGGATTTATTTGACGTATATGCAATGGAATTGACAATTTAAATCTACTAGGTTTACTGAATGCTATAAGCTGTAAACGTAGTATAAATCTAGTTCAATAAATCCGAATTAAGCAATAAATAGTGATGATATGGTTAAATCCCGCTACAATTTCGGCTGGGTTCGACTTTTCATAGTTTCTAATATGTGAAAAACTTGGCTTAGCGCCAAATCGATTATCCAAAAAGACCCTAAAATTTAGAAGTTTCGTCCCATGGGATGGATACAAATATACCCTGTCCCAGAACCTGTAAAAATCTGCTAGTTTTGCATTTTTTCGGTATCACCATCGAGTAAAAAATTTTACATTCATACAGTTCAGGAACAGACCAATACTGAAAAGATGGGTAAATTTACGTAAAAGAAAAGTGAGTTATGTGGGACAGGAGGGAGTTGGGAGAGAAAAATGTGTATAAGGTCAGCCAGTAAGCCCATCTGACATCCAAGTTTGCCATCAAAAGACATATTGTGATTTGAAATTCAAATAAAGTCAAATCACAATAGTGCACAACGTGCTAAGTTTATTGTCTAAAGTAGGCCTTGAAAGTAAAAGTTTTTGCTACGGTAACCGATTTTCTCTTTATGATATGTAAAGAAAGTGCAAAACTAGTGAATTATTGCAGACATGGCTCAATAGGAAAGGTTGCTCAACTTCAAAGAAACTACAAAAACTCAACTCTGTGCTGGAGTCTTATAGTGTCAAATAGACTTTTAAATATGCAATAGTAGGCTTTGTTTATTTTTTTTTTTTTTTTAAAGAATTCTTATATTGGGAAAAACCCGCGAAACAAGAATGGAAGTTCGGGGTTGTTCCACGAGATGGAATCTAACATAGTAGGACAATACAGTTTTATCACCAAATTGTACAATTTGTTACCCATTTACGGCGAAATTTTGGATTTATTTTGCAACCAAATTTGAAATAATTTCAAATTATTGTATTTTTTTATTTAAAACAATACACACACATACACATAATAGTTGTGTTCCAGAACCTACAAATTAGTACTAATTAGTGCTTCTGCTACAACGCGTTCCCGTACTCCAAAAACTAGCAAAACTTGCAGCTCTCTCGAGAAAAAAATGGCGCTGAGCGGTGCACATTTCTGCTTGTTTTTTGGATTTGGTCGAGCAGAAATGTGCAAATTGTAAATTTGACATTTAATTGGCAGGGCTTACAAGGTTGAAAAAGGTATAGATACATTTCAAAGTTCGCGCGTGACAACAAATGTAAAGAAAAAAGATAATCTTTAAAACTAAAAAAAAACTAATATTTGTCGTGCAAAAAATAAAAAGAGAAAATATGGAGCAACTGATGTATTCACTTTTGGATGATTCCAAGAGTGAAGAGGACTGGCTGAATGAGGAATCAGACGAAGAAAACAGTGCAAAATTAGTGAAAGGTAAATTGAAAAATTAAGTTTAAAATGAAAGATGTTCGCTTATTACTGCGAATATTTTCTTTTTATTTTTTAGGTTGGCTGTCTTCCCAACTTGTGGCATTAAGTCTTCTAGCAGACTTAACATTAATTTAAGCGGCGCCTCCAACCATGTCAGCTTCTCCGGGGTTGGGTTTTGAGAAAACTCCACCTCAAAATACTCTTCAACGCATTCTGAAAACAAAGCTTTCTAAATAAATGAACAGAATTCAAAAATAATTATTAATTTTAACTTATTTTCAATACTCATTTTTTTAATTTTTGGCATCCATTTCAGTAAGGTTTCACAAGTCCGAGTTAGACTGTTTTCTTTTGGAATTTTGAATGTTGACATTTTATTGCATTTCAGCTAATTTTCCGTTCCCTTATTTTTTGAGCACACCTAAATTAGAATGGCATTTCGTACTGTTCTCTCTTCTATTAGTTTTACTACTAAAAAAGTACTGGAACACAACTAATGTGTATATGTTTTGACATAATAGGGACACCAAAAGAAAAAAATTGTATTTGGGCGGTAGCTTTGTTCTACCTTCTGTAATTGTGCCATGATTGCAGGTTCTGGAACAAAGCATTGAAATTCTGGAATAGACCACTTCTAATATCGATAAAACAAAAAAAATCCAAAATGTAGAGCTATCGATTAGGCGAAAATCGAACTATTTTACCCTACTACAACAACAGCTGACTGAGTTTCCAACATCTTCTATATCTCATTCGTAAATAATCGGTTCTTTTGTTTTTGAATTATTTTTATCCGTCATTCTCTTTCATCTTGTTTACAAAAACGTCTTTATACAACGTTAGAATCCTTTCATACCATTAAAAAAACTAAATAAATGCTATCATTAGTAGCCGATTACAGTGGTACCTCGTCCAGCAGTGAGGATGAAGACTCGGACCAGGAGGAGGAGTTGCCTATCACTGTCGAACCGCCAAAAACAAAAGTGAGAAAATACCACTCCATTCGGGAAATCTTTTACTTAAACATTTGTTGCTTATCCCTCTTCTAGGCAAACATTTCCAAACCTCTGTTACCCAGTGCCAACACCATATTAAATTCTACAACTAAGGGTTCCGGAGTGGTATTTAGTAATCCATTTTTAGATGCCGAGAAAGCTGAAATCGACAAATTACAAAAACATGTTAAAATGGTAGAATCTGAAGAGCACTTGACACAGAAAAATGGTCGCAAGATATGTTGGAACAATCGCAAGGGACGTTGTCGATTTGGTAACAAATGTAAATATGCACATGATTCAGATTTGGTAGCTTCTGAGGGGGACAATGAGACAGACGTCACTGGCGAGGAGGTATTAAAAATACATTTATTTAATTTCGATAACTTATCCATAATTCAATTACAGATACCAATAAAAACAGCAAATACAGTTCCCGTCAATGTTACAATAGCTAAATCCGCCCAATTAGGACAATCAATGGAAAGTAGTGAAGCGAAATCGAAGTCTCGAAAGCGTCCAGGTTTGGGTGATGCCTTAGTTCCCGGCAAAAGGGTTATAAAACAGTATCAAGCAACAAAAACAGCAAATACATCGTAGGCTAAGCTAGAAACCCCAACTATACAACACCTTGGTCACATATCCGAACCGAACAGCTTCCATTGGTGTCCATGCAACTGCTATGCAAAACCTTGATAATACGTCGACTGGATTTTTTCATTTCCACGTTGTTTTCGGAGATGTATTCCATAGATAGACGTAATCGGGGTTTTGACAACCAAAAGTTGCCCATGACTTGTCTGTAGATCAGTTGTTTTGGTTCCATTTCAATGTTATCATCATCATCCTCAAGTATATCCGAAATATCCTGTTCGTGTTTTGAAACCACAGAACCTATATTAATGTTAAATTAAATGTATAGAAAAAAAACTTGTATGTTGTGTACTATTTACCCATATGTTGTTTTTGTCGTTCTTCTAAGGCTTGGGGAATCAGCGATAGATTTACACAAATAACACCAATATGGAATTCATCACACAGCCTGTACAATATCTGAGCCAATCGTGATAGCAGACATTTGCCGGCCAAACGATTGGCATCAGCTTTAAGCAGAAACCAAACGGCTGGCAAGGAGTCAATTATAATTAGCCTGATATTCTTTACACAACTGCTGCCATTTTTTAGTTCCACATAAAGTGTATTTAAGATTTCCACTAAACCTTGTGCCGATAACACTCTTTCGACTTTAATGGCTTCCAATGTTCCAGCTGTCACATCCTTTTTCAGCTGACGTGCAGTTAGAATATTTTTTACACGCGTAGCACAAAAATCCAATTTGGTATCTACATACAACACTTCACGTTGGTGTAACTGTATAAAATTGCAGGCTAACGTTAATGCCATTTGTGTCTTTCCCACACCAGAAGGACCACATATCTCCCACATCATTTTACTTGTTAAATGACTGGAACCTAGGAAATATGAGGAATTTCCACGTGTTCTACATGCAACTACGTTTGGAGCCAATAAATCATCCAATGGTCCGATCAGTGTGTAGTAGCATCTACTATTTGATTTAATCGCCAATGTTTGTTTCTCATCGCTGAGGATGAAATTTGCAACACACTCACTTTCACCAGTGTTTTCGTCACACCTTCTTAGTTTCGCTGCCAAATCTATTCGTACAGGTCCATAACGACGTTTCAGTTCAGTTTTAATTTTTTGAATTTGTGCAGCATTTAGATTGAGAATTTTCATTAACTTTTCCGTAGTCTGCTTGAGGAACTCACCCACCAAGTGTATATCATATTTGGCCAAAATATTTAAGCAATATTCAGATAATTCGGTATTGGGTAAACAGTGTAGTTTGCTCATCTCGGAAAACTGAAAGTAAATGCGTATAGTACATTAAAAAATAATGAGAATTGAGAGTCAAAAATGATTTCCGATCGCAAATTAGAAAGAAACACTGTGTCCCTAACCAAATTGCAACCGATTGTGAAGTAGATATGGAGAGTTCCGTTAACTGCAGATGACATGTAAGCTTGGTTACAATTAAACTAGATGTTTGTTGTCCCAACCCCAACAGAAAAATATTGTAACAGTCTCAACTTTAGCTGGAGGATTTAAAATTACACGAAAAAGGGCGCGAAACGAAATAGGGATCCATAGTTCAAGAAAAAAAGAGAGCCAATAGGGATCTAAAAGAGAGCTACCTAATCAAAATGCGTTTCGCTAAGTGTGTGTTAGTACTTTAATATTAATTTAATTTTTCTTGAATATTTGTATATGAGGCAAAATCTCGAGAAACGAATGGATGTTTTTTAAACATCTAGTTCCAAATACGACTCAAATTCTTTTTCATTCCAAAACGGAAACAATTGTTCTTTTTCTTCTTGAATTTTAATTTCAATAGGATTTAAAAATGTTTTAAATTATTGTTTTTATTATTCAAAACAATACATACTAATACAAAAACTGTATACATGTTTTGACATTACAAGACTACCAAAATAAAAAAAATGTATTCAGATTATTGCTATGCCCTACCTTGGAAATTATTTGTCAATACAATCATATACTACGTAGGGCAGGTTTACCAAGATTGATAAACAAAACTCTGATACTACAATATTGTTACTTTTAATTTATTCACAACAAGTGTTACATGTTGTTTTTTATATATGACACCTTTTTAACATTGTAAATTAAGAAAAAATCACGGGAAGTGAGTGGTAAGGCAAGATTTATTTATTATCCCAAATTTAAAATGTATTCCATTATTTTTACGTTCTTCAAAACTATATACATATTTTAACATTAAAGACAAGCTTAGACAGCCGTTTAGTATAACAAAGCCGTTTTGTTGTGGCTGTTGTTTTATCACGATTTAATTCTGACATTGAATTAAAGGGATAACATATGACAAAATTGTATACAGGTGATTTCATTGTAGAAGAATATAGGTAGATGCATCAACGCTTGAGAACATTGATATGTCAAATATTTTCAAATGATTTATCAAAAATAAATGGATTTTTAAATGTTATTTTATACGACGCCAATGGGAGTTTGTTATAATATGCATTTTTCAACAATTTTTACAAATTTTAATAATTTTTCATTTAACATTTTCAATTCCAAAATCAGTTTGACAGTTCATTATCCCAGCAGCTGTGTCGATGCGACTACCTGTATTCTTCTACCACGAGATTGCCTCACACAGACGTATAGTTTGTTCCAGTATTTAAATAGAAAAATCACTTGTTTTATGGAAGACATAATCTTAAAAGTAACTTTACCCTTCTGCTCGCTTTCTTCCTATTAAACTCACATTTCTTGTACATGAAGTAAAAATTAATTTTTCACATTTTAATTCCTTCCGATTGTTTTTCCCGCGGTTATTCGATTACATTAAAAATCGATAACATACTGTTGAATTCTCCATTTCGATATTACTGTGCTGTGCTTTCAGACGCAAATTGTCAGCCGTTAGTTTCCGTCAAAACCATCGACACGACAACATCGCTCGCTGCCGCCACAAAATTTTTCATTTGCGTGTTATTTCCCTCTCTGTCAAAGTGCAATTCTAGTATACGGAAATCTATGAGTGTGAAGAGTACAACACTATTGTACAACCTAGTATAAAGGCAAAGTACAAAAAATTTTCCATCAAAGAGAAATTTTTTCATTGCCATTTTAATCGTCTTAATAGTGAAAATAATTAAAAATTGTGTGCAGAAAATATTCTTGAATATCTTAAAAAACGTTTTATCATAGTTTTATGCACGGATGCCTCTAGAAATGGCCGAAAATTCATGATTAAAATTAAAGACATCTGAGGTAGGTGGTGGTGTACAGAAGACAAATGAATTTAAAAAAAGAGGAAGAAAATGTGAAAAGAAAGAAGCAGAACAACACGAACAGAAAAAATAATCTTGGGAATATTGGTTGGTGTATGTGTGTGTTTGTGCGCCCAAGTGTTTAGTTTTGCAGCGCTTGGTTTTCGTTGGCTGACTGGCTGTTGGTTATTAATAAGGGCTGGGTTAGTCAAACGTTACGTTGCAAAAAAATGTGATTATTGTCTGAATCTAGAAAAATAATGCGAGAAAGAACATACGATTAAATCAAATGAACGTAGTACGAATTTTGCATTAAGAAATAAAAGTAAAAATGTCCGAAATGTTTTTGTTAATTAAATGCAAATGTGTTTAAAACAAATGCCGGTTTATCTTCTTTTGCTCACATTTGCATAACTCATATATTTACAATGTATGAGTATGTGTGTGTATTTTTTACTTTGTAAACTCAATGTGGCCACAACTGCTTTCCTTTGCTGCTCGCTTTTGTTGTTATCACAAAACATGTCATGTTTGCCGGCTTGACGTCTCTGCGTCTCTCAAGGGCGTTAAAAGAACATTAAAAACGCCGTTTTATGTGTAATTTTAAATAAATAAAAAACGCGCGTTTTGATTTCATTGGAGATATATAGACATATTTAGTATTGAATATTGATAAGGTTTTATTGTATTTCACAATACCCCCACATACTGTACATCATACTTGATTTACAGTAGACATTTTGGTTATTGTTTTTATTTATTACAGTGACTGAGTGACTATGTTAGACCAGGTAATAGGAATGCTAGCTTTATTCTACTTTTCTGCGAATGGAAATATGTGTTACGTTTTGTGCGGATGCTAGTAATATTAGTAGAGAAAAGGAACAATCATAAAATAATTTGGAATCATAGTTTGTATATAATCGTCATTGGGAAAAGTTTTAAACCTTGTGTTTTTACAACAGGTAGCTCAGTTTGTGGGGTTTCCACTGCAATTAAAATGGATTATTAAGGAATATTTAAGAAATCCTGAACAACGTTAATGTGTATGATGTTCTTAGCGAGACCCCAGCTTAGTTACGGTCAAGCTAGGATGCCGCATCTAGTCATTACAAAACGGCTTTGTTTTGGTAAAATATGTGTCACAACAACAACCATTTAGTCCGGGGACCTCTTGTCTTGAAATCAGGGATATAAATAAAAGGAACGTCGAAACCGTTTCGGGACAGCCCAAACTGCCGAAATAATAACATTTCGATATAAAGTGTCGAAAAAAATAATAAAAATACAAATTTCAGAGGGATCGGACGAGTAAGATTTTACTTGCGGCAGCCCACACCTCTCGAGTTATGGAACTCCAAAGATCCGTAAGAACAATGTTTTTCCACCGCTTTTTTTTTATAAATTGAAAGGAAGAAACATGGCCGTTAAGACGCTAGCCGGTTTGTGGTTAGGTATGCGGTCCAGTTTCGTCTGACAGGATTCTGCCCCGAAAAAGTGCACCTCCTCATAACACCAGTGGTCCATCAACTTGAGGAGGTAAAGTCTACTCCCTCACGTCTGCATGACCACATGTTTTCGTTGCAGTACCTTCATGGATGTTACCGGGGGATTCACCCAAACCATAATATTGTTGAAAAAAATCCCACACCCAGGCATGTCAGGAAGGACCTATCTAGAGTGGAATGTTCAACGTTATAAGAGCAAGAGCCTCTGGATCAAGAAGCCTGCCGGGCAGGTTTTATTAGCATTCATACTGAAACAATCAATGATTATATTAATACTCTCAGAACAAATGTTGTCCTGCCATCCATCACAGCTAAAGAAACTCGGCTGTCTAGACAAACTAAGGTGGTGCAGTCTTCTCAGTTCATATTGGGAATGTGCGAAACGTCTGTCAAGCGTGTGTTACGGGCCGCACACTCCTACCCAGCACACTCCTTGTGATCTTTCGAAACATCAAAACACCATCTCTTTTTAAAATTAAACTTTTCATAGATGACCGGCGTTCGGCAGGGAATTTAGAGCTTTCACCTGTGGATTCCATTACAGATTTAAAGTCCAGTTTATATGTACGTCGAAGGTTAAGCGGTTCTTTAACACCCAAGTATTTCATTGAGCTAATCATACTTGTAGAATGCAGGATGGATATGAGAAAAACGTACACTCGGTGAACTTTTATTAGGTTCGACTGATTTAGGTTTTACAAGATTATATTATTCGATGAGAATGGCTGCAGGGCCTCAAAGGCAGGCTAGACGATTGTTTTTTTTTTTTTTTTCCAACAGCTTATCTGCTCAGCTGATTTGATGTCTAAGTCTTGATATATCTAATCGTTCTACTGATCGTCCAATACATTGATTTTCTATAACCTGGCATGGCGTCTCAATGGCATATTACTGTCAAGATCGATTTTTTTTCAAAACAATTCTTGCTTTAAAAACTAAATGAAAAAAGGGTTGTTGTTGTTATTGAACATTCTTGTCAGTTCGTAAAATTAACTAGGCCGAATGTATTAGGTATAAAGATTTCCCAGAACTTACCAACATTTTAGGTAAACTTACCCTTGGGAGTCAACCGTACTGCAATCGACTTAAGTATGTCTTAGAGACCCTCGCGGATCTATCTGGAAAATTACCATAGTTATCTCTTAGGATCCAGCTCGCACTCTCCCTATGTGCCCTGAATTAAACACGGTATATTGACTATAATTTGTAATGACTGCACCTAAAAAGCACTTCCTTGCCTTTTTTAACCACGGCTTGGAAATCGTACATGTGTGCAAGAGAAAAATAAGTTGAAAAAAACTTGATCAGCAGCAAAAGTTTTACCTTTATCAATACGGTAAAAACTGTTACGTTGATTACAAGGTTAATCTGATTATTTATTTCCAACTAGAATTTGAATAAACAATAGAAAATGTAAGAAAACATGGCAGGTAAAAAGCACTTTCTTATCCTTATTCAATCATGGCTTGAAAATCGTACATGTATGCCATAGTATTCCTTTTTTTGGGGGAAAACAGATGCAAAGTTCGTATTGGAAAGAAAGATACAAACGCTTACTCTGTTTAAATTTTAAGAATGTATTCTTTTTGGCAACAAACCACATCAATATGATGATAAATTAGTCCACTGACTTTGGTCAGATTTAACCTATTTTTGGAAGAATATAAATATACCAAAACTACAAACAGGATGTTCGCGTTTAGCGAGGGAAATAGTTTGAGGTGCCAAGAAATGTTGTTTAATGTTGAGTTCTATTACTAAAGTGGGCAAGGGCACTCTGTGTCACATTGATAAATTTACCACAATTGGAACAATTTGTAACCTTGCTGTATTAATTATTTATTTTATGATTTTACTCTATATATTGGAGATTTTATATAGAGATTTGAAATAATGACAAATCAATGAGTTTAGTTTTGCACCTAAAAAGTACTTTCTTGTCCTTCTATTACCATGGCTTGAAAATCGTACATGTGTGCCATAACAAGATCATATTCTAAACGGATGCAAAATTTTTACTGAAACAAATAAAAACGATAATTCTGTTTACATTTGTGTCGAATACTTAGTTTTCCTTTTTTTCAATATGATGATAAATAAGTCCACTGACTTTGGTTAGATTTGAGCTATTTTTGGAAGAGTCTAAATATGCCAAAACTGCAAACAGGATGTTCACTTTTGCGAGGCATTTGTCCGATTGAAAGGAAATTGGACATGTAAGGAGAACAATTATTAGTTATATATTAAATTGAAACTCTTTTTGGGAATATGGGGATCTGTATTGTTTTATGATATTTATACATTTTATCATAAATTTTTTTCAAATAAACTACACCAGCATTCCCAATGTGTATCGTTGTTCTGCATCTTTGAAATTGAGTATTGGACTTATCAACAAATTTAAAAAAAAATGATCCATCTAACAATTTTCTTGTCTACTTCTCCAGATGCATCAAACATGAATGAAGGTGAGTCAGCAGGAGGGGGGCATCAAGGGTCCAACCCGGCCCCTCCTGCTGTGCCAGACCGCATATCATCAACTACAACAACAACAATTGCAACAAACCTTGCAACAACCACACAGAACAACAACGTTGTTATCTCAACAACAACAACAACCAGCAATTCCCCCTATAGAACTACAACAAAAACTGCTGTAGCCTACGCCAGCAGCAACAACATTGAAATTCCAAACGTCACAGGTTCGCTAATCCAACCAACATCAACAACGGCTGCTGCAACTCCATTACCTCGTACTTTCCAACAAACATTTATTCAGCAACAAAACAACAATACAATTTCCGCCAATACTACACAAGCATCATTCGCATCAGCAACAACAACAGCAACGTTTTCATCATTGAGCTCAACAGGCAATTCGGGCAAGAGTCTTATGCCTCAAACACCAACACGGTATCAGCAACAATCATCATCAGCAGCAGCAGCAACTACGACAAGCTCTACCAATTTCGTTACCGTAGCCACAACACCAACATCAGCCCTACCCTCCTATTCCACTTCTTTTTCGCCCGACGTCAATTCACCTTTGAGCAAACGTAAAAAATTGGAAGACTCAACAACGTCGTTGTCTGCAACGACAACGCCGTCTTTGGTTAGCGGCAGTGGTGGTAGCGGCGGCATTCTCCTGGCAAGTGCAAGTGGTGGTAGTAGTGTTGGTGGCATAGTAGGTTCTCTATTGCCCACAACAACAAACACAGCATCCAATCCAACGACGGCATCGTTAGCAGCAGCAGCAACAAGTAACACAAATTCTGCATTAGCCCAAGATATACAAGGTTTAAAAAAGCGCATATTAGAACAAAAATATTCACGTTTGCGTAGATTAAAGGAAAAGTAAGTTGGATATTTGTCTATTTATTTTGTATGTTTTATAATAAAAAAAAACTTTTTCTTTTGCTTTAGACACTCTGAAAATGTCGCCGAATTGTTTTATTTGCAAATTGGTGGCAATATGATGGACTATCCTACGTGGCGTAAGAAAGCACCTACCCCACAGTTCATCACCTTTAGCAATGCCTATCGTTTGGATCAATTGGTTAACGATGAAAGAACACAAACTGCTGCTGCCACAACGACTACGGGAACAGGAACAGCAGCAACAACAGGAGCATCAGCAACAGCAACAACAACATCAACATTACCGGCCACAGCAGCACCAACATCAGCATCAACGCCTACAGCAGGCAATGTTCCTATGGTTGGCGTTTCTTCAGTCGTTTCACAACAACAGCATCAACAACAAACACCAAATGCTGATAATATAGCAACAATAATTGGTGTGACTGCTGGTAGTCATACGAATGTTTTACATTCACAAACGGTAAGTTACTATGGGTTATTCTAAAAAAGAAAAATCTATTTGAAATGGGAATTTGTAAACATAAATCGTAGCTTTATTTTTAATGATAGGCATAGGTTCGGTTGTAAGATGTGCAGGTATTACAATTGTATTAGAGCTTTCCAACTTGATAATCATTGGTTCAGTGTCTGCCTTTCTGTGTTCCGAAATTGTAAGAGGTTATGGACTGACAATTAAATCCAATTTAAGATTATTCCAAACAGAAGAGAAACGTCTAATATGCATGATATAGGTATATAAAACTTCGCCAGAGGAATAAGATTAAGCCTTATCAAGGGAAGTCAATTCCACGTCAAATGTTGCAAAATAGCGTGTCCCAAACCACTTAGTTTATACAATCGTGGGCCACAATTGTTTAACAGCCATCCTGGCTTCATTTGTTTAGGCCATGGACATGCCCTACTGAAATTTGTGATAATCAATTCAGATTTAGTTATAGCTCCCACATATAAATTCGTTGCTCCTGCCAAAACAGGCTCCCATTAAAATATAATCTTATCCAATAATATGACTATGGTAATATAATATACTATATTTCGACAGACCCATTGGGAAAAAATTTCATATAATACAACCTAAGTTTTATAAAGGTACTAGATTTAAACTTAATCACTTTTGAGAAATATGCGAAAAAAATGTGTGTTGTTTTCTGAAGAACAATCGAAAAAATCCTATTGGACGACAATGTGCCATAAAATCAACACGAATCCTATTCTGACAATATTGGCTACAATAAATAATGACTGCACCTAAAAAGCACTTCCTTGCCCTTTTTAACCACGGCTTGGAAATCGTACACGAGTGCAAGAGAAAAATAAGTTGGAAAAACTTGATCTACAGCAAAAGTTTTACCTTGATCAATAGGGTATAAACTGTTACGTTGATTACAAGGTAAATCAGGTTATTTATTTTAGAATGAGTATTACAAAATATAAGAAAAAAATGGCACCTAAAAAGCACTTTCTTGTCCTTAGTTTATCATGGCTTGAAAATCGTACATGTGTGCTATATTAAAGTGAAATTTCGAAACGGATGCAAAGTTTGTACTGGTCGTTCAAGTACAAACGACTACTCTGTTGACATTTGTTGTGGTAACAGCCATCTTCAAGTTTCCTTCAGTTCTCAAAATGATGACGAATTTAGTCCACTGACTTTGGTTAGATTTGACCTATTTTTGGAAGAATCTAAATATACCAAAACTGCAAAAAGGATGTTCGCATTTAGCGAGGCATTTGTCTGATTGAGAAGTTGGAGATGGAAAGGGTTTGTTTGTTATTTGGATATTATGGTAGGTGGTAAGCAAATTTGTTGTTTAGTAATTATTTTAAAATAATAAAATTTTGAACATTTTGTTTAGAGTTGCATTGAAATACTAAAACTAATAGCCGTAAAATTGTATCAGTTCAAATAAAAAAACCTAGCACCTAAAAAGCACTTTCTTGTCCTTCAATTATCATGGCTTGAAAATCGTACATGTGTGCTATAATAAGAGCATATTCCAAACGGATGCAAAGTTTTTGCTGAAACAAGTAAAAACGATAACTCTGTTTACATTTGTGTCGCATAATTACGTTTCCTTTTTTCTCAATATGATGATAGATTAGTCCACTGACTTTGGTTAGATTTGACCTATTTTTGGAAGAATCTGAAATACCAAAACTACACAACAGGATGTTCGCATTTAGCGAGGCATTTGTCTGATTGAGAAGTTGGAGATGTAAACAGCTTTAATGAGTTACCTTAACATGCAAGGGCACTCTGTGTCACATTGAAATTTAACCACAAAGTGAAACAATTTGTTACCTTGCTATAGTAAACTTGATATTTTAAATTCATCAAACCATTTTCAAATTTTCAAAATGTGTTTGTAATTAGAATATCTACAGTTAGACATCATTTGGTGATTCTCAGCTCAAAATGATGACACTTTGTCAACTGACTTTGGTTAGATTCAACCTATTTTTGGAAAAATCTAAAATACCAAAACTACACAACAGGATGTTCGCATTTAGCGAGGCATTTGTCTGATTGAGTGAATCGCCAAGTATTTTTATATTGCTGCTTATTTATATTTGCACCTAAAAAGCACTTTCTTGTCCTTAGTTTACCATGGCTTGAAAGTCGTACATGTGTGCTATGGATGCAAATTTTGTACTGGTGGAAACGATTACTCTATTTACATTTGTGATAAAAATTCACTTATTTTAATGATTTACAACTGGGTTTGATTTGTGATGATTCAATGTATTCTTTGCAGCTCAATTTAAAATAATTGGAAATACGGCCATCTTCATGTATATTACTTAGAATGAAACCTCATATGTAGTCTAGAACTAATTTTGTAAAATCAAGCCTAAATAGATACAGATTTGGTTGGTTGCTTGGTTTAAGGATGCACTGTTTCACTAGGACACCTTTGGTCCATTGTGTTCATCCTAGGAAGAAAAAAATTGTGGCTATTATATGGGAGAGATATAGAATCGAGAACGAAATGGTTTTAGAGAGAAGTATAGTATAGCAGCGCAGAGACAATGGGGCCATGGAATGCTTTTAGTAAACCTGTTGATGATAATGTGATCTATGTCCGAGAATAAAGTTAGAGTTTCTATTAAATTACCTATGCCTTTTGTTGGATTACATGGGATATCTGCATAGCAGGCATTCGTCTCTGACACTTCTTCATCTTCAGATAGTTTACAGTAGCTCCTATCAAATAGCCTAAATATAGTAGGCATTCGTTTTCTGACACTTCATAGTTTACAGTAGCCAGGAACACTGTCATCCCATTTTAATGTCAGATATCTGTTACTGCTGTGGCCAGTCAGTGAGCCCACCGCGATTCCTTGGTCAGACCTATTAAGTGATGGAAGGGAGCTTTTCCTTCTCGAGATTATCGGCCAAATGGCCTTAGATACCATGCAACCGGCTTCCAAATGCCATATTCTTTCAGCTCCTTCGATGAGAGACCTTTTGAAGCAGCAGACATATTACTTATGTGCGGTTAAACAGTCTCATCAATTGGTAGATCAATCGGTCATTGGAAACCACCTATATAGATCATTGGGAGCCACCTCGAGCTAACTTATCAGTCACTTCATTCCCCACTATGTTGCTGTTATGTCCTGGAGGCAGCAAAACTTAATAAATTCGCGAATTTCAAGGAGGCCTTTCTTGATGTCAAGAATGGATCTCTATTTAATGACACTTGACTTTTGATAGCTTTAAGGGTCGTCAGAATATCCTTATGTGGTTACTGGTCTAGTTATGCTATCGCAGAGTTCTCTTACCATTTCGGCTGCCTTTTGATTGCAAGAATCTCCGCTCGAAAAACGCTGCAATTCTCATAACATTTATATGAGCAACGGTGCTCCAGGTTTAAAAATTCGGCTATTTTAACGGGCTGTAGCCAGAAAACTTCTGGAGTGAGTGAGAAGAGGTGTAGCGTATTGTGTGGCCTGTACCACACGCCGGGCAGACGTCATGCACATCTACCCTGATTTTTCTAGGCAGCTGGCCTTCTTCAACTGCAATGGATGGACTCCGAGGACGGCATTTAGCCAGTAACTGCTGATACCATCCGTGATTGCATCGGTATGAATGCCACTCAGGCCTGCCTGATAGGCTTCTTGATCTAGAGGTTCTCTCTTATAGCGTTGGTCCTCCTTCTTTAGATCGTGTATGTCCTTCCTGACACGCCTGGGTGGAGAGTTGTATCCACCAAGTGATGGTTGGGATGACTCTCACGGTAACACCCAAGCAGGTACTGCAACGAAAACATATGATTATGCTGACGTAAGGGAAGGACATTCGCCTCCTCATGGAAATGGTCCACAGGGTATAAATTTCCTTTTTGATTTGAAATGTTCTAGCTCAACTTAAAAGCCAGCTGAAAACGATAATCCTAATCATAAAAGTTCCGATTTAAATAACACATTTCTTAATTTTTTTCTTTTCAGAATATACAACAATCTCATCAGACATCATTAATCGCATCATCAGCGTCATCAACATCATCTCCCGCATCTAATTTGGTCTCAAATCAGGGTCGTCTGCCAAGCAGTACAACCATATCCCCCTCATTATCATCAGCATCATCATCATCGTTATCATCTCCTGCAAATGCAGCAGCGGCAACACTGGCGACGTCAACAATTCCATCAGCCGCCGTGTCGTCAACGTCCAACGCTGCCGTTGGCAATGTACAAGCTACAATATTGCCCTCAACGGCCACTGATGCCAGTGGCAATCCATTGCCTCCACAAGGGGCCGAAATAAAAATACCCGCCGTTGGTGCAACACCGGTGGCGGTGTCCACAAAATTGCCAGCCGCCGTGCAACAGCTAACCCAGCAAGGTAAGTGGTGGCCATTACCTCTTTTGTGGTTTTCATTAATTTATTTTTTAATTTACAATTTAAGTTTTAGTTTTGTTCTTTTTTCTTTCTAACAAAATTTCCTTTTTGAAAAATTTATCCTAACAAAAAATAAATTCCAACATCATCACCATGCTTTGTAAACTATTCCTTCTGAAAAATTAAAATACAACAAAAACAATCATTCACAATAAAACATCACCGTAACAAAATCAAGGCACATATATGCTCCCAAAAAGACACCTCCTTTTTTTCGTTTCTTACATAAACCACCAACACTTTTGCTGATCATCTCCTGTTGTTGTTTTGATTTTTATTTTGCTTTACGTTTCTTTCTTTTTCTTCATATTTCCCAAATTTTGTTGGTTTTTTTTTAATTCTTCTCTCATCCAAATCACAATGATTTTTTTACTATTGTCATTGTTGTTGTTCTTGTATGTAATTGTCTATTGAATCACATCACCAAACAACAAATTTATTTAGGTCACATTCCGGGTAGACCTTTAGGCGGTCGTCACGGGATGGTATTTGGTCAAATACCCGCTCCACCTGCTGTAGGAAATTCTACTGTACCTTTGGTGCCAGGTGCTTATCATTTATAATCCTCTTCTTCTTAAAAAAAAAAAACATTAAAAACAATATATTTTTTGATTTCATATGGTTGTTTTCATTTGTCATTTTGTTGTTTAGTTTTCCTTTTCTTTCTAGCTTTGTTGTATCATCAACAACATTATTTCCATATGATTTTCCAATTCATTTTATCATATTAAGCAGCATCCCCTTATTAATTGTTATTGGATAGGCATCTTGTGTTTTCTTGTTTTCTTCTGTTGGTTTCCCTTAATATCTCGTCTTTGCTTTTTGTTTAACAGCAAATCCCATATTCTCAATAGGAATTGGCTTGATTTATTTTTTTTTCAAAGTAGAATAATATTTGGCTTTTTAATTTTTAAGTTTTACTTATTTCATAGTAATTCTCTTAAGTTTCTAATATGTGTGTATTATTTGTATAGCATATTGTATATGTAATATGTTAATGTGCAATTGCAGAGGAAATCCCAGATATTAGTCCTTTATTGAAGGAACCAGGGTTTAATAATCAGCACCTAATGACAAAAGCCTTAGCATTCAGGGCTACTGCTATTTAATATTTGCAGCCACGGCTAAAATTGAACATAATCAGCTATTTAGCTTTGACAAAAACTTTTTAGCTCGTTGTTGACATGCTAGCTATTTTTGATTATGTTGTGGCAAATGGTCAGGCTTAATCCCTTTATTGTTGTTTTTATAAAAACAACGTTTGTTTATTGGTGGAGAACGATGGTAATGTTTATCGGGGGGTAAGGTAGGGAATACCTAGGTTTCGAAAAGAGCCACCAAACCTCATCAGTTTTTTGATTAGGCGTAACCGACAATGAAACAACAAATTCAGCACACAAAAAAATCAATAGCTATGATTTCGGCTGCTGCTATTTTCGTTTTAGCCGAGTAAGCAGCCGATAATAGATATATAAAGTTGTGTGTTGTCCACGTACAAATTAATAAAACACGTGCGTGCATATACAAACTAAACCTATGTACGATCTTAACAGCTGTTTTTTGCTCATATCGCATTTAATTTTTTTCGGTCTTAAAAGTCTTTGATACTATTTAGGAATTTCCAAAAAAAAATTCTTTAGAACTATTTCCGAATGAATGAAGTCTTGTTTTTATTTTATAAATTTATTTTTTTAAGATGTTAGCCAATCGAAATTTGTTTTAAGATCCATTTTTTTCTAATTTTGTTGATGTAAAATTTAATTAAAAACCTTGAACAATATTTGCTCATAGTCTATATATGAAAATATGACATGTATAAAAACATGTTTTTATCGCATTTCATACAATATGAAATTTTTATAAGCAACACTGAACGCAAAAATTAATATTTGTTTTATTTTGGATAAAAAAAAGCAGCAGTCGTGTAGCTTTTTGGTGCTGAGCTATTTTGTCGTTGAAAATTGTAAGAAAATTGTAAGCCTCTTGAGGTTGGTCTATATGACCCTGCTTGTTCCCCACATACCTTAAAATATCAATTTCTTCTTCCAAAAGATTGCTCCATAGGTGAGAAACGGGTGGACAATTGACTCATATATCCATTTGATAAAATGCGGTTTTTACACGCAGCTCTTTCCTATAAAGTTCTTGGATTAATAGAGTACGATTAAACCCCACTTCGCACGCTACTCGATATCACTCTTCCAATTTAGTTGTTGGTCGAGAAAGGAACCGAGATATTTTGCTATTAGGCTAACCGTGACTTCATCCTGCATCTTTAACCCTATGTAGGGGAGGTACCAGAAGAAATGGTCCGACAATCTGTACCATCTTTATAACCAATCTTGTGTTGAGGGAAATATTGAGAAGTACCAAGTCAGAATGGAATCGGGTGTTAATTTCGCGTTTTTTGAGCTTCATGGGAGGTACCAGAAAAATGTGTGTAATTTGAAGAGAACCAGAAGCATATTTCAGATTTTATGATAGTTTTGGTTATTGAAAACTTCGACCCTTTGTGGCGAAGGTACCAGAAGGAATGGTCCGATATATGCAATCTTTATAACAAATCTTGTGTTTATGGAAATATTGACATGCGCCAAGTCTAAATGGAATCGGATGTGTTTTATGGGCTGCATGGATATTAAAAATTTTGACCCTTTGTGGGGGGAGGTACCAGATGGAGTGGACCAAAATATTCGATATAATTTGAAGACAATCGGACTCTTACATCGCATTTTATAAAAGTTAGATTTATTCAAAATGTTGACCCTTTGTGGGGGAGGTACTTGATGGAGTGAACCGATATTGTAAATTTTCACACCTGACCTAGCATTGATGCAAATATTAGGGTTCGCAAAGTTGGGGCAAAATCGGATTATCCTTTCTCTTTCTGTGCCATTCCATTTTGCAAAACAAAATTATCACACATTTAGAAAAAATAGGTATTACATAGCACCCCAATCGGCAGCTTGACTTTACCTAATTAGACAAGTAGCCACGCTTGGGTGCTTAGATTAATATTCAGACTAATATTCGCTATTGTGGATTTCGTTCGACAGCCATAATAGATACATTGGGCTACAAAGGCAATTTGTATACTAAGATTGTTTGAATTTACATAGAATTGTTCTTTCATAGTATCACAACCCTGTATATTTGTATTCAGTAGACTATTTCAGTACTTAAATCTGCACCTAAAAAGCACTTTCTTGTCCTTAGTTTACCATGGCTTGAAAATCGTACATGTGTGCTATATTAAAGCGAAATTTCGAAACGGATGCAAAGTTTGTACTGGTCGATCAAGTACAGACGACTACTCTGTTGACATTTGTGATAAGTTTTCCGGTCCCTAATGTTCTCAAAGTGATGACAAATTAGTCAACTGACTTTGGTTAGATTTGACCTATTTTTGGAAGTTTCTAAATATACCAAAACTGCAAATAGGATGTTCGCATTTAGCGAGGCATTTGTCTGATTGGGAAGTTAGAGATTGAGGCAACTTATTCCATTTTGAAAGTCAAAATAATTTTGGTATTTTATTTTGCAAGGGCACTCTGTGTCACATTGATAATTCCACAAGTGGAACAATTTGTAACCTTGCTATAATAATTACATATTTTAAAACTGTAAACTCTATCTTATTAGAATATATTAGAGTCGTTTTGAAATATAAACACAAATATGTTTAAGTTTAACATTTTTTGCACCTAAAAAGCACTTTCTTGTCCTTAATTTATCATGGCTTGAAAATCGTACATGTGTGCTATATTAAAGTGAAATTTCGAAACGGATGCAAAGTTTGTACTGGTGCTTTAAGTACAAACGATAACTCTGTTGACATTTGTTGTCATAACAGCTATCTTCAAGTTTCCTTCAGTTCTCAATATGATGACGAAATAGTCCACTGACTTTGGTTAGATTTGACCTATTTTTGGAAGAATCTAAATATACCAAAACTGCAAATAGGATGTTCGCATTAAGCGAGGCATTTGTCTGATTGGGAAATTAGAGATTGAGGCAACTTGTTCCATTTTGAAAGTCAAAATAATTTTGGTATTTTATTTTGCAAGGGCACTCTGTGTCACATTGATAATTCCACAAGTGAAACTGTAAACTCTATATCTTTCTTTAATTTGTTTAGAGTAATTTTGAAATATTTACACTAATATATCTAAGTTTTGATCAGTTCCAGGATTTTGCACCTAAAAAGCACTTTCTTGTCCTTAATTTATCATGGCTTGAAAATCGTACATGTGTGCTATATTAAAGCGAAATATCGAAACGGATGCAAAGTTTGTACTGGTCGATCAAGTACAGACGACTACTCTGTTGACATTTGTTGTGATAACAGCTATCTTTAAGTTTCCTTCAGTTCTCAATATGATGACGAAATAGTCCACTGACTTTGGTTAGATTTGACCTATTTTTGGAAAAATCGAAATATACCAAAACTGCAAAAAGGATGTTCGCATTTAGCGAGGCATTTGTCTGATTGGGAAGTTTGAGATTGAGGCAACTTATTCCATTTTGAAAGTCAAAATAATTTTGGTATTTTCTTTTGCAAGGGCACTCTGTGTCACATTGATATTCTCAAGTGGAATAATTTGTAACCTTGCTATAATAATTACATATTTTGAGACTGTAAACTCTATATATTACTTTAATTTGTTTAGAGTCGTTTTGAAATATTAACACAAATATGTTTAAGTTTTTGTTAGTTTAACATTTTTGCACCTAAAAAGCACTTTCTTGTCCTTAATTTATCATGGCTTGAAAATCGTACATGTGTGCTATATTAAAGCGAAATTTCGAAACGGATGCAAAGTTTGTACTGGTCGATCAAGTACAGACGACTACTCTGTTGACATTTGTTGTGATAACAGCTATCTTTAAGTTTCCTTCAGTTCTCAATATGATGAGAACTGACAAATCTGACTTTGGTTAGATTTGACCTATTTTTGGAAAAATCTAAATATACCAAAACTGCAAAAAGGATGTTTGCATTAAGCGAGGCATATGTCTGATTGAGGGGGGTGTGAATCAAGTGGTCATTGGTATAAGTCCAAATTTTATATACCTATATTATTATATGGTCTGAATTTAATATTTTCTGTTATGTATCATTGCAAGGGTACTCTGTGTCACCTTGCTATAAAAAAATTGTAATTTAATTAAGAAATCATTTTTGTTCTACTTTTCAAGGGTTTATTCTGAAATACAGGCATTTCTCAAGTTTTTCGTTTTCTATGAAATCTATTTTTTTTATTTAGCTGTGACGCCCATTTCAGAAAATGAGTAAAGTTCTGATGTTTAGGTCGTCTTTTCAATTTGAAGATTTTCAATCTTCATGCTGTTAATCAATTGTGTAAATAGATGGGAAAACAATTCTGCTTACTCGGGGATCAGATACAGGAAATTTCGCGAAATATAAGTGAATCGAAGGCAGAAGAAATTAATTCTTTCATTGACCTTCCTCTGCCCCCCGAAGATCATTTTTTATTTCATGGAACTTTTTGTGTTTGGGTCCGCGATTGATTGCATATTACTTTATTTATTTACAAAAAAATAATTTTTATTTTATAAAGGCATGATAATCGAAATTATATTTTTCTAATTTACCAAAGAGCATGCTAAGTGTGACTATATATTTAATAATAAATACACAATGAAAAAAACTCAACTCACATACTAACGATCCATTTTCTATTCTCTCTTAAGGTGGCACACCACTTATTCCCTGCAGCACAGCCCAAGGTACCACAGCATTGCGTCGCAACGGCAATGGTGGTGTCAACTCAACGTCAAATACTCCTCCGCCTTTGTATTCACCCTCGCCCAGTAATGCTGCAGCGGGCACTTCAAGTGCAGCTAATGCAGCGGCCGCTGCTGCGGCGGCAGCAGCAGCTGCCTCCAATTCTGCGGCCACAACGCCCAACAGCAATCAAGAGTTTTCCTTTAAGGCCAAACAGGAGGTTGATGTCATGCGCCGCATTATGGAACTACAGCGAGAGGGATTATGGACTGAAAAACGTTTACCCAAACAATTGGAACCGCCACGGCCAAAGGCCCATTGGGACTATTTGCTTGAGGAAATGGTTTGGTTGGCTGCCGATTTTGCCCAAGAACGCAAATGGAAAAAAGCCGCGGCGAAAAAATGTGCCAAAATGGTGCAGAAATATTTCCAAGATAAAGCCAATGCTGCCCAAAAGGCTGAAAAGGCCCAGGAAGCTCATCTGAGACGAGTGGCCGCCTTCATTGCCAAGGAAGTGAAAATGTTTTGGGGTAATGTTGAGAAACTGGTCGAATATAAACATCAAACCAAATTGGAAGAGAAACGGAAAAAGGCATTGGATCAACATTTATCCTTTATTGTGGATCAAACCGAGAAATTCTCCCAACAATTGGCTGAGGGTATGAACAAGACTCTGAAGGATACAACATCAGCCAATCCCAGTATAAATTCCAGTCGGATATCATCACCAAAAAGAGATGGCACAGATGGTGAGTAATCAATTCAATGTTCTATAATTTCCAAATTAAAAAATTCAAATGATGACAACCTGTCACTGATTCCCAAAACTTATGCTCTATTTTTGAGAAAGTTTTAAAGGGAAACTACAAAGGATGTTCGCATAAGCGAGGCATTTGTCTGATGTTGAATTATTTTAAAAAAAGCTTCTTTGATATGCTTTCTTCAGCTAAGGTATTAAAATCGATCTTCTTTTTTTATAGATGAGTTTCGTCCCGATTCTGCTTCAGAAGATGACGAAGAGACAATTGCCAAGGCCGAAGAGGAAGAAAACGCTGATGTGGATGCCGAAGTGGCTGCATTGGAAAAAGAATCTCAAATGGATTTAGATGATTTCCTTAAAGATTTGCCCAAAGGTTATCTTGAGAACCGTGATAAAATTGTATTGGACGAAGATAATACCAGCAATACAGCCACCACATCTTCGTCCGGTTCCATGCAACGCAAAACAAAGCGACAACAACAGCTGCAGCAGCAGCAACAGAAGGCCAAGGCCAAGAAACAAGAGGACAGTGATGATGGTGAATTTGAAGCCAACGAAAGTAGTGAAGATGATGAAAATACCATTAGAAAACAGGAGGAGGAAGAAATGGATGTTGATCATCAAAAGGAATTGGATGAATTGGAGGCTGATAATGATTTAACTGTGGAAGAATTAATAGCCAAATATAAATCGGGTAGAATTGATGAAACCACCACCACAAGCAAAGCCAAGTCCTCAAATAAATCCAAAGATCAGGAAACGACAAAAATGCAAGTCGATAATGATGTTAAAGGTGATGACCAGGAGGAGGAAGAAATGGACGATGAAGCCATTTCAAAGGCCATGCGAGATTCTGATGATGATTCAACGGATGCCGAAGAGGAGGATGAGGAGGCAACAGATGAAGAAGATGAGGACGACGAGGAAGAAGATGAAGAGGACGAGGAAGAAGAAACGGAAAATGAGATAAGCGAAAATGAAGCAGATGCCCAAGATGCTGGTCTTAAAGATCTTCTGGAAGATTCCACAAATGCTGCCAACAGCAGTAAAGATGACATGATAAAGGATGCTGCGGCCCTGGCCGAATCGTTGCAGCCCAAAGGCAATACTCTATCCTCAACAAATGTTGTTACCCCCGTACCATTCCTTTTGAAACATTCACTGCGAGAATATCAACACATTGGCCTCGATTGGTTGGTTACAATGAACGAACGTAAGCTAAATGGCATTTTGGCCGATGAAATGGGTTTGGGCAAGACGATACAAACCATTGCTCTGCTGGCTCACTTGGCTTGTGTGAAGGGCAATTGGGGACCCCATCTAATTGTTGTGCCCTCTTCGGTTATGCTAAATTGGGAAATGGAATTTAAAAAATGGTGTCCAGGCTTTAAAATACTCACCTATTATGGTACACAAAAAGAGCGTAAACTAAAACGTGTCGGCTGGACTAAGCCCAATGCTTTTCATGTGTGCATAACGTCGTATAAACTCGTGGTGCAGGATCAGCAAAGTTTCCGTCGTAAAAAGTGGAAATATTTGATATTGGACGAAGCGCAAAATATTAAAAATTTCAAATCCCAACGTTGGCAGCTGCTGTTGAATTTCTCCACAGAGAGGTAAGTTTGAAATGGTGAAATTAAATGCTGGTAACTTCAGTAAAGGGTTAGATGATTTGGAATTATTTTCTGGGGGGAAAGACGAGTATATAAAGCATAAGATAGTTTCGAAACGGTGTTTAGGGAAAGAAAATAGAAGCTATTCGATATTGGATGCAAATATATATATAAATATATATGGGAGCTTTTTAAAAATCGATACCTACATAATATATTAAATCGTCCATGTAAAATATCTCAAGCGAATTCGTTTGCATGTGCAAAGTTTAATTTTGATGTGAGAAATTTAACTAAATCCAAAATGATTTTTCAATAAGAATTGAAGAATTGTTGACATTAAAGTACAAGAATCCACTTGGACAGACTGACGGATGAAGGCGAAAATGTCTGAGAAAAATCGAAGCAAAAATTCATTCGAATTTGAAATAGGGTTTATATAAAGGTTTTTTTATAGCACCCCAATCGGCAGCTTGACCTTACATAATGAGACATGCAGCCACGCTTGGGTGCTTAGATTAATATTTAGACTAATATTCGCTATTGTGGATTTCGTTTGACAGCCATAATAGATACATTGGGCTACAAAGGCAATTTATATACTAAGATTGTTTTTATTTATATTGTTTAAATTATATGCATTATTTCTTTCATAGTATCACAACCTTGTATATTAGTTCATGTATTCAGTAGACTATTTCAGTACTTAAATCTGCACCTAAAAAGCACTTTCTTGTCCTTAGTTTACCATGGCTTGAAAATCGTACATGTGTGCTATATTAAAGTGAAATTTTGAAACGGATGCAAAGTTTGTACTGGACGATCAAGTACAGACGACTACTCTGTTTACATTTGTGATAAGTTTTCCGGTCCTTAATGTTCTTAAAGTGATGACAAATTAGTCAACTGACTTTGGTTAGATTTGACCTATTTTTGGAAGATTCTAAATATACCAAAACTGCAAATAGGATGTTCGCATTTAGCGAGGCATTTGTCTGATTGGGAAGTTAGAGATTGGGAGAACTTGTTCAATTTGAAAGTCAAAATAATTTTGGTATTTTCTTTTGCAAGGGCACTCTGTGTCACATTGATATTCACAAGTGGAACAATTTGTAACCTTGCTATAATAATTACATATTTTGAGACTGTAAACTCTATATCTTACTTTAATTTATTTAGAGTCGTTTTGAAATATTACAACAAATATGTTTAAGTTTTTGTTAGTTTAACATTTTTGCACCTAAAAAGCACTTTCTTGTCCTTAATTTATCATGGCTTGAAAATCGTACATGTGTGCTATATTAAAGCGAAATTTCGAAACGGATGCAAAGTTTGTACTGGTGCTTCAAGTACAAGCGACTACTCTGTTGACATTTGTTGTGATAACAGCTACCTTCACCTACTTTGGTTAGATTTGACCTATTTTTGGAAGAATCCAAATATACCAAAACTACACAACAGGATGTTCGCATTTAGCGAGGCATTTGTCTGATTGGGAAGTTAGAGATTGAGGCAACTTGTTCCATTATGAAAGTCAAAATAATTTTGGTATTTTTTTTGCAAGGGCACTCTGTGTCACATTGATAATTAAACAAGTGGAACAATTTGTAGCCTTGCTATAATAATTACATATTTTGAGACTATAAACTCTATATCTTACTTTAATTTGTTTAGAATCGTTTTGAAATGTTTACACTAATATATCTATGTTTTGATCAATTCCAGTTTTTTGCACCTAAAAAGCACTTTCTTGTCCTTAATTTATCATGGCTTGAAAATCGTACATGTGTGCTATATCAAAAAGAAATTTCGAAACGGATGCAAAGTTTGTACTGGTGCTTCAAGTACAAGCGACTACTCTGTTGACAGTTGTTGTGATACCAGCTATTTTCAAGTTTCCTTCAGTTCTCAATATGATGACGAAATAGTCCACTGACTTTGGTTAGATTTGACCTATTTTTGGAAGAATCTAAATATACCAAAACTGCAAATAGGATGTTCGCATTTAGCGAGGCATTTGTCTGATTGGGAAGCTAGAGATTGAGGCAACTTATTCCATTTTGAAAGTCAAAATAATTTTGGTATTTTATTTTGCAAGGGCACTCTGTGTCACATTGATAATTCCACAAGTGGAACAATTTGTAACCTTGCTATAATAATTACCTATTTTGAGACTGTAAACTCTATATCTTTCTTTAATTTGTTTAGAGTCGTTTTGAAATATTAACAGAAATATGTTTAAGTTTTTGTTAGTTTAACATATTTGCACCTAAAAAGCACTTTCTTGTCCTTAATTTATCATGGCTTGAAAATCGTACATGTGTGCTATATCAAAAAGAAATTTCGAAACGGATGCAAAGTTTGTACTGGTGCTTCAAGTACAAACGACTACTCTGTTGACATTTGTTGTAATAACAGCTATCTTCAAGTTTCCTTCAGTTCTCAATATGATGACGAAATAGTCCACTGACTTTGGTTAGATTTGACCTATTTTTGGAAGAATCTAAATATACCAAAACTTCAAAAAGGATGTTCGCATTTAGCGAGGCATTTGTCTGATTGGGAAGCTAGAGATTGAGGCAACTTATTCCATTTTGAAAGTCTAAATAATTTTGTTATTTAATTTTGCAAGGGCACTCTGTGTCACATTGATAATTCCACAAGTGGAACAATTTGTAACCTTGCTATAATAATTACATATTTTGAGACTGTAAACTCTATATCTTACTTTAATTTGTTTAGAGTCGTTTTGAAATATTAACACAAATATATTTAAGTTTTTGTTAGTTTAACATTTTTGCACCTAAAAAGCACTTTCTTGTCCTTAATGTATCATGGCTTGAAAATCGTACATGTGTGCTATATTAAAGCGAAATTTCGAAACGGATGCAAAGTTTGTACTGGTGCTTCAAGTATAAACGATAACTCTGTTGACATTTGTTGTGATAACAGCTATTTTCAAGTTTCCTTCAGTTTTCAATATGATGACGAAATAGTCCACTGACTTTGGTTAGATTTGACCTATTTTTGGAAGAATCTAAATATACCAAAACTGCAAAAAGGATGTTCGCATTTAGCGAGGCATTTGTCTGATTGGGAATTTTGAAATTTGGAAAATTAGTCTTAGTGGTAAATTTGGCTAGTTTTTGTGCAAGGGCACTCTGTGTCACATTGAAATCCACAAGTGGAACAATTTGTAACCTTGCTATACTAAGTATTTATTTTGGAACTCTAAACTCTTGATATTATTACATTTTCTTTGGAGTGGTTTCAAAATATTGACATTTTAAGTTTTAACATTAGATTATTTTGCACCTAAAAATAACTTTCTTCTTCAATTACCCTGGCTTGAAAATCGTACATGTGATATAGATATTTTAGACTCTAGTATAGATTTTTATTTATTCAGAATTAAGTATCAGACATTTTACTTTACATTTAATATATTGAATATATAGTAACTTTTAGATTTCAAACAGTAAATTAACTTAGCTCTTCCATTATTTTCTTTTGGATTGATTTTTTTTTAGAATTTTTAATTTTTTTTTCAGACGTCGTATGTTCCGTCATTTATGTTCAGTGTGTTTTATAGCATTTCAATCAGTGACTTAACTTTTTTGTTATGGTTAAGGAACTACGCTAAAATGCTTACATTAATTAATGAATAGTCTCGCTACTACAGACTCGTTCTATTCCCGAGAGTCAGTATTAATAGATTAAACTACAAAAATTACTGAGCATCAGAAAAAATGGCATTAGCATCTAAAAAATCCTTTTAACAATAAAATATAGACTAATGTTTGCCATAAATTTTGACCACTGAAATTGGTTAGATTTGGAGTAAGTAAAGTTGATTTACCGACAAAAGTCGGTAAAATTAAAATGCTTATAATTTCGGTAATTTACGAAACTTGTCGACGAAATCAAGACCTACCAATAGGCACCAATGTTGTCAACTTTAACTTTTTTTATATCAAAATTTTGAGTTTACCGATAATCCAAATTAATTTCAATCCAAATTTATATATAAAAATCGACTTATTTTAAAATTAGAATAGTGTAGGTATTTTATTCAGGATACAACATATTTTTTTTTATTAAATTATACTGTTTAAACCACCGTTTTTTATAACATTGTCTTGCCTTTTCAATTCATTCCAGACGTTTACTCCTCACCGGCACACCATTGCAAAATGACCTCATGGAATTGTGGTCTCTCATGCATTTCCTAATGCCCTATGTTTTCTCATCGCATCGTGAATTCAAGGAATGGTTTTCCAATCCAATGACCGGCATGATTGAAGGCAACATGGAGTACAATGAAACGTTAATACAACGTCTACACAAAGTTATACGGCCGTTCTTGCTGCGACGCCTCAAAAAGGAAGTCGAAAAACAAATGCCCAAAAAATACGAACATGTCGTAATGTGTCGACTGTCGAATCGCCAGCGTTATTTGTACGATGATTTCATGAGTCGAGCGAAGTAAGTTCGTATGCCACAACGAAAATTCAAATTTTAATTCAGATAAGTTTGGAAGAATTTTTGTTAACAATCGTTTTTCTTTTTTTTCGCAGAACAAAGGAAACCCTACAAACGGGCAATTTGTTGAGTGTCATTAACATTTTAATGCAATTGCGTAAAGTTTGTAATCATCCCAATATGTTTGAAGTACGTCCAACTATATCACCATTTCAAATGGAGGGTATTACATTTGAAACGTCACGTCTGATCTGTGATCTAATGGAATATGATCCATTTACGGTAAGTTGGATTAACAAAGTTTTGCTAAGCAATATATACATCCAGAAATATAATAACTCGAATGAAAGGTTCATAGATTAGACTACAAAAAGTAACAAGTAAAAAGAATCAGTCGGTTTTGCCGACAGATGTATACCCCCAGCCTTGAGTAATGGTTATTCAAACTGTTGATCCTTTATGGGGAGGTTCCGAAGCAATTGGCCAACACTGACCAATTTCTATTTGATCTAAAGCTGATTATAACGTGACAGATTTGGACTGTATCGACTACTTCGTATACTTTACACTAATTATAGGCCCAATTTTTAAAAAAATGTGGAAATATGTGTGAGGTAAAAGATATAGCAGACCGAAGTATAAAATTTGAAGGAAATTGAACATTTATATCAAATTTTATGCGAAATCATAAATTTCGAAAAATTACATATTTATATCGGAGGAGAAAGAAATATTTTGTTATAGGAAGTTGTAAAGAATTGCCGACTTGTTTCGTTAGTTATGACAGATAAAAGAATTGAAGATTGCGACTCTTTGTGGGTGAGGTACCTGAAGGGGTTCGCAGATATATATAATTTTCACAATAGATCCTGCGTTAGCAAAAATATTTGGGTGTGTGAAATTTGAAGAGAGTTGGATGCTTATTTTGCTTTCTTTGAGCGTTTTGTATTTCAAAATCTTGAACCCTTTGTAGGGCTTTTGTAGGGGAGGTACCAGAAGAATTGATCCGATTTCTACCACTTTTATACCAGATCTTGTGTTGATAGAAATGGAATCGGATGCTAATTTCGAGTTTTATGAGCTTCATGAATATCAAAAGTTTTAACCCTTCTTGGGGGATATACCACAAGAAATGGTCCAGGTTCTACCATTTTTATAACAGATCTTGTGTTGATAGAAATATTGAGATGTGCCAAGTCCAAGATGGAATCGGATGTTAATTTCGTGTTTTATGAGCTTCTGAATATTCAAAAATGTTGACCCTTTGTTGGGGAGGTACCAGAAGGAGTGGACCGATATATGTCATCTTCAAACTAAACCTTGGGTAATGAAAATATTGTTATGTGTGTAATTTGAAGACAATCGGACACTTACATCACATTACATAAGAGTAATAATTATTCAAAATGTTGACCCTTTGTGGAGAAGGTACTGGATGGAGTGGACCGATATTGCCCATTTTCGCACCTACTGTAGCACTGATGGAAATATTAGGATTTGCAAAGTTGGAGCAAAGTCGGGTTATCCTTTCTCTTTCGGTGCAGTAAATTATTTTCTTTGTGAAGTTTGACATTTTGTGGGGGAGGTGCCAGAAGGAGTGGACCGATATTGCCCATCTCCGAACACGACCTAAGTTTTACAATAATATTACGATGTACCAAGTTTGGATCACATATTTTCTTCGGGAGTAATCGTGCGCACCTGCCAGCTAGACGCACGACTCCAAATGTCCTGAAACGGATTTGGTCCTATGATATATATGATATATGCCCACTCTGGCCATATGACTTAGGGTATGACTAGAAATATGACTTGAAGTATAATGAATATATAAAAATTGTTCTTAAACATAATTTCAATCGTATTAAGAGAGCAAAGCTTAACATTTGATGAAGTTAATATTCAAATATAGACCTAGTTTCGCTATTGTGATCGAAATTTAAAGGTCGTTATGTACTTAATAAAATTTTAGCATCAGACCTTTTAAGCTACGAAAAATATTTTGTAGTATTGAAACATTTTATAGCATTTCAATCAGCTTGAAGTAAACGATGAATAGTCTCGCTACTATGGATTCGTTTTACCCCCGAGAGTCAGTATTAATAGGCTAAACTACAGGACAAAATTAATTTGAAGAAAAAAGTGCTTTAGCATATAAAAATCTTTCCTAACCATATTTCACTAGTTTTGAAGGAGTTAAACTCTTAATTACATGCTTATATTAAAATAAAGACTAATTTTCGCTATTGTGGCTTCATTTTATAGGTCGGAATAGATATTTTAGACAACAATGACGTTATATACTTATTCAGAATCAGATAATTTACATTACGTAAAACGTATTGAGTATATTTTATAGCATTTCAATCAGTGACTTAACTTATTTTCTTGTAGTTAGGAAACTACGCAAAAATGCTTAAAGTAAACTACGAATAGTCTCGCTACTACGGACTCGTTTCACCCCCGAGAGTCTGTATTAATAGATTAAACTACAAAAACTAATAATGAATATAAGTGAAAAGGAATATAAGGAATTAGAATCTAAAAATCTTTCCCAACAATTTTTCCATAGTTTTGAAAGACTCAAACTATTAATTTAATGCTAAAAAAAATATTATAATAATTTTTTTGTTTTTTTTTAATTATTTAGAATTAAGTATCAGAAAGGTTATTTCAAGTAAAATATATTGAGTCCATATTATAGCATTTCAATCAGTGGCTTAACTTATTATTTTGTAGTTAGGAAACTACGCTAAAATGCTTAAATTAAGCTATGAATATGAATAGTCTCGCTACTGCGGACTCGTTTCACCATCGAGAGTCAGTATTAATAGATTAAACTACAACAAGTAATAATGAGTATAAGAAAAAAGGTTTTTTAGCATCTAAAAATCTTTCCTAACAATATTTCAATGGTCTTGAAAGAGTCCAACTTTTAATATGATGCTGATATTAAAATATAGACTAATTTTCGCTATTGTGGCCTCACTCTATAGGCCAGAATAGATATTTTAGACTACAATGTCGTTTTTTTACATATTCAGAATTAAGTATTAGAAAGGTTATCTATCTATATATATAAATGTAAGTTGTGTTAGTTACTACGCTTATAACTCAAGATCCGCTGATCCGATTTTAACGATTCATACAAATTCGGAATTGTCTCTTTTCCGAAAAGGATAATATTCAAAAAAATCGCGTAAAAATGTGATATATTAACATTTTCATTTTGACTTTTGAAATGTACAATAGTAATGTTTTATTTTGCATGGTTTTTTTTCCATTTTGACTTACTTTTTTCTAATGTACATTTGTAGTGTTTTTTTTTATATTTTTTTTTAATTCGAATATTAATACCAATTTATTTAATTGACTTGATTTCTTGAGAACTGAAATTGATGGCGGGTTGCATGGAAGTCAGTCAAATGATATCGAAATAACTTAACGCGGTTAGACCAATGTTAAAAGATAATTACTTTTTCAAAATCGCTAAAAACACGATAAAAGAGATGTAATGGCAAAAATTCTCAAATCGGGAAAAATTGAAAAAAAAAAAATCAATGGAAATTGACTAGATATGGAAATAATCCATCCAATGAGAACTTAAAATACAAAATTCATTGGGACTGCAACCAGTGAAATACCGAATATGAAGAGCACTGTTATATGCGAACTATATAAAATAGTGGAGCAAATTGAAAATTTGGAAAGAAAAGGATACATTTCCTCGGAAAATTCTTCCGAAACCTTAAAAGTAACCTCTACTCCCATGAAACGTTATACGGTGACTATGCGCTATCATCAGTAGTCAGTTTGGTTGGTACATAACAATCCCAAAAAGGGGGGGATCAAACGTTTTTAGGGTCCATTTTATATAGTTTAACCAAACACAAAGGGCCTCAAATATTTTGCTCTATACTTCGCAAAAGTTACCATAGAGTTTTAAATTTTTCCTAGGGGTTTCATGAATAATCAGTTGTTCAAAATATATATGAGATGTATATTAAATGTTGTTAATTTCAGATTTTAAGAAGAACAACACATTTTTTCAAATAATTATAAGAATAGGACCATGCTTTGGTATAACCCTTATATGTGAACCTATTTCTTTCATATTACAATAATCCGCCCAATGAGAACTCAAAATGCAATTCATTGGAGCAAAATGGTAGAGCGAATTGGACATTTAGGAAAAAAAAAAAAACTTTCAAGATATCTTAAATCGCTTTTGCAGGTCACGATATATGACCCCCGGATAAGGGTACACTCCTTTTTCAAGTATAGTTTACATTTTAACCATATTTTACTCATACGCATTTTAGCAAAAGTTGGTAATTTGAGAAGAAACCATCCTCGCAAAAAATGATCACGTTTTGGTATAACCATTATATAATTTAAGCTATATTCGGGGTTTTCGACATTTTTCTTTCATTTTTCAGGCCTTTATTTGGCGTCTTTGTTTCTACGGGTGTAAAAAACCTCTTCCCATAATATTTTGACTTTTGGAGTAGAGTCCATCTTGGTCTTGATCACATTCATCAATTGATTTGGCTAAAAAATTGTATTTAGGCTACTCTGGGATAGAGAATCGTCTAACAGATAATTGTCCACATAGGCATTTTATTAAGTATAGTTCCCACATTAGTGTACCCGCAAATCCACATTCCTAACCAATGTTTGGTCAGAAAAAAAAATTTGGTATACTATTGAATTTTTAACTCTTAAGAGAATATTGGCTGGGAACGTAGAAGTGGGATGTACGTCTACATGCTTTGAACTCCGAAATATCAAATTGTGGAAGAAACATGAAAAAATCACGAATATTATTTTTTGGATCGTTATTGAATTATACTATGAAGAAAAATATGGACTTTATGGGTTTTCCAACACACAATTTAAATGACAAAAATAAATTAATTCCTATCTTACGGTAATGGGTGTAAAAGACCAATTATCTTTGACTATTTTGAAATCATTCAGATCAGTGTTCTATAATGCCTTAAAAAATATGCATTAAAAACTAAAAGTAGGGGCCGGCAACGCGGACCGGGCCAGCTAGTATTAAATAAACTATATTGAGTTTATTTTATAGCATTTCAATCAGTGACTTAACTTGTTTTTGTAGTTAGGAAACTACGCAAAAATGCTTAAAGTAAACTATGAATAGTCTCGCTACTACGGACTCGTTTCACCCCCGAGAGTCAGTATTAATAGATTAAACTACAAAAACTAATAATGAATATAAGGAAAACGGCTTTTAGCATCTAAAAATCTTTTCTAACAATATTTCAATAGTTTTGAAAGAGTCCAAGTTTTGAACATGATGCTGATATTAAAATATAGACTAATTTTCGCTATTGTGACCTCGCTCTATAGGCCAGGATAGATATTTTAGACTACAATGTCGTTTTCTTATTTAAACATGTTGTATACCCTTTATAGCATTTCAATCAGTGACCTAACTTGACTATTGTAGTTAGGAAACTACGCAAAAATGCTTAAAGTAAACTATGAATAATCTCGCTAATATCGGCTTGTTTTCTATCAAAAGTCGGTATTATTAGATTAAACTACACAATTTCGAATAAAATTTGAACTTTTATGAACCCACATTACACATTTCTCACATTATTTCGTCGAAAAAAAACATATTTTATTTTTCATGCGGTAATTTTTGATCTTTGATCGATATGTTATTCTTTTGTTGATATGAAAAGCCGAAAGAAGTATACATAATTTATTTTATAGACAATAATATACGGCTTAATTTATATAAGAAACGTTAAAAATCTTGTAGATTTTGGAAAATGTGTTGAGTATGTTGTTTTATAGCATTTCAATCAGTGACTTAACTTTTTATTATAGTTAAGGAACTACGCTAAAATGCTTATAATAAATAATGAATAATCTCGCTAATACGGGCTTGTTTCAATACCGAAAGTCAGTATTATTGGATTAAACTACACAGATTTTTTAATCTCATTGGAAACCAATGAATAGTTGTAGTTGCTGTATTTTTGTTTAAAACCTCAAAAGGATATTTTATTTGAAAACTATTTTGTGAATATTTTATAGCATTTCAATCAGTGACTTAACTTTATTGTCATAGTTAAGAAACTACGCAAAAATGCTTATAATAAATTATGAATAATCTCGCTAATATCGACTTGTTTCAATACCGAAAGTCAGTATTATTGGATTAAGCTACAAAGAATATCGAGAACTTGGGGTGATTTTTAGGAGATATCTTAAATCTTAATTTTAAAAATTACCATATTATTAACTGTTTGAAGATTATTTCGTTGACCGTGACTGTGTTAAATGTTTCATCCGCTAAGTACAATTTTGGCAAACTCCTTTCAATATTTCGGCCAGTATCTTACGAATAAATGCTTCAATGTTATCTTCCAATGCTTCGTCTGTATAAAGACGGGCATCACAAAAAGTGGAATAAGGGGGAAAATGCCAAATTTAGGCAGCTAAATGACTTTTACGCGTGCATGTGGCCGCGCAGATGGTGCCATTTCAAATGGAATAATACTAGGAATTGTAATACAGGGTGAGATAAAAAAAACTACAACATCTGACCATAATTTTTACATTTTTAATGTTATTAAATGAAAGCAAAAAATGTCGGAAATAGCATCAAATTTTAGAATAAATTTAGATTTCTTCGAATTGGTCACCTTTGGAACGAATTGTGGACTTTTTGTTTTTGTTTGTTTACAAACTGCTGGGCAACGAATGTTTTCTCATCGAAGAAAACCGAATTCGGCAGTTTACCACTACCACGGCCAAACAAAGCAACTCTAGCTATTTTGAGTTTATTTTCTTTCAGTTGCAGTGTAAGTTCTTGCACTTTTTGCAATTTCAATGGCTTTACCCCGAGCTCATTTTTCAATATTTGCCGAATGGCTTATTGCGATATGTTCAACTTATGAGGCATTTTTCGGCAACTGCGACGCGGGTTTCGATCAAGTCGCTTCTTTACTTTTCGAACCATTTTTGCGGATGTTGCTGTTTCCTTTCGTCCACTTCCTTGACGTCGGGCTACGCTACCAGTATCACGGTAACGAGCCATGATACGAGACACAAAAGATTTATTGACATTTAAATGCTGGAGTGCCCTAACGATAGCCACTCGTGGTTTTCCAGCCAAATATAAAGAAATCACTCTTGATTTCCGTCACGAATAACTTTTTTTTTATGGAAAATTCTTACCAAAATGTTTTTGTACGCTTGTAAACAAACAATATAATGAGCTGTCACGGCAATAATTTTAACAGCTGTCGGACGAGTGGCTTACAAATTACAACAGTCTGAAGTTTGTTGCAGTTTTTTCATCTCACTCTGTATAGTAATTCGAATACAAGCTGAATAATTTGAATTGCCAATGGATTAATTCAAACTTCAAATAGAATATTTTGCTAAAATTTAGTTTCATTATATCTTTAATGGAGACAACATGTTTCCAATTTAAGTTGGACTGTGATATTTCGTTGAATTCATATTTGTATATGATAATTTCAATTTTTCATCACAAGATTATGAAAAGACATGCAGGTTTTTTTAGATTTTTTAAAAAATGAAATCAAAAATCGCATATATTTCTGAATAACAAATATACTAATTTTCTTATCTTTTTGTGTTTTCATTCCAGCAAATTGACCTACACTCCTTGAACCTGCTGTTGGTTGAATTGGAGATGACATTGACGGCCTATGTGTCGCACAAATCACGTTTATTGGCAGCGCCGCGTAAGCTAATCGAAGAAATCGATAGTATACCTGATCCGCCACCACGTTGTCCAACGGGAAAATATAAATTCCACATACGTGTACGTGACACTCGAGTCCAACAGAATGTCAGTGCGCATAGCCAGCAAATGGTTAAGGTGGGTGCAAGTCCTGCTATGAAAATGGAGGGCAATAAATTTGTACCCATCAACACAACAACAACAGCAGTGACGGCGTCGGCGAATACATCCCATTTGGGTATTATGAAATCTACTGCAACAGAGACTGGTGGCAGTCGAATCCATAAACGTATAAACAATGTCATAAATCCAATTGGTTCTCCCAAACTGGGGCCCATAACACCCGGATCCATTACCAGATCCTCCCTTCCACCGATGTTATCATCGTCCACATCATCCTCACCCATGGGTCCAACACCTGCCAAACAAATGCGTTTACAGGATCCATTGAGTCTGGATGACATGGACAGCATAAAAACGGAAAAGTTTATCGATGATAAGGCCTTGGTGAAGGTTCTGGCACAACAGGTGAAGACCACATCAAATACCCGCAGCAGCCCTACTGATATTACACTAAAGACTGAAGCCGATGACGATGATAATTCTTCGGAGTTGGATCCAATTTTCAATATGTCAGACATCCTGCAGCAACGCAAGGAGCAGCGATTGGCCCGCCTCAAGCTAATGGCAAATGTGAATAAAAGACGTACCGAGGCCACACCCATATATGGTGCCGATTGTCGTGAATCCATTGAACATTGTTCCGAAGGCAGCCGCTTGTTGCAGTACTCCACATGGCAGACCAGAGGTTACACCAACTGCAACACTGCCATGCAACGTTGCAACGACAATTGGACCCTCAATAAAATTCTAAAATCATATGAGAAACGTTGTGAAGATCTTAAGCATATCTTTCAGAACTATGTTATCTATGTACCGTCCGCTTGTGCACCGCGCATACGTTTCTATGTGAACAATTTGGCCTCCATACGGATGGCACGGGAACGTGCCATAGAGCAAACAATACAAAAGGAAATGTCACCAAAACTGGCGCTACTACATCCCATTATTTCAGCCATGACCACACAATTTCCCGATCCACGTCTCATACAATACGACTGTGGCAAACTGCAGACATTGGATGGTCTTTTGAAACAACTGAAATACAATCATCATCGTGTTTTGATCTTTACACAGATGACCAAAATGCTGGATGTTTTGGAGGCATTCCTCAACTATCATGGCCACATCTATTTGCGTTTGGATGGTGCTACCAAAGTCGAACAAAGGCAAATTCTCATGGAACGTTTCAATACCGACAAACGCATTTTCTGTTTCATACTCTCAACGCGATCCGGCGGTGTGGGTATTAATTTAACGGGTGCAGATACTGTGATATTTTACGATTCAGACTGGAATCCCACCATGGATGCTCAGGCGCAGGATCGCTGTCATCGCATTGGTCAGACAAGAGATGTGCACATCTATCGTTTGGTCTCGGAGAAGACCATCGAGGTGAACATCCTTAAGAAAGCCAATCAAAAACGTATGCTTAGTGATATGGCCATTGAGGGTGGCAACTTTACAACATCGTACTTTAAGAGTTCCACAATAAAGGATCTTTTCAATGTGGACACACAACAACAGCAGCAGCAACAACAGGGTGAAACCACTTTATCTCAATCGAGAGAAACGGCACCATCATCATCGGCCTCATCAACTGTTGTTGAGAGCAATGAAATCGATTTGGAAAAGCAATCGTTGAAGGCATTCGAAAGTGCTCTAGCTGCTGCCGAGGATGAACAAGATGTCCAGGCGGCTAAGACGGCTAGGGCAGAAGCTGCTGCCGATTTGGCTGAGTTTGATGAGAATATACCGCTGGAAGAAGTGGCCACAAATATTGATGGCGGTGGTAATGTTGAGCTGAGCAAAGCCGATTTGGAAATGCAAAATTTGGTTAAACAGGTAAGAGTGGAACCAAAAGAATTTTTGTTGATGATGTTTTTTTATTTAGGTATTTAAATTTTATTATTGGATTATAAAACTACTAAAGATATCTGTTTATGAACTTCTTGTGGGAAGGGAAAACAAAAGAGAAAGTGAAACTCTGTTCATTTACTTCTTGTCAACTATAATGTATTAAAATTAAATTCAGCATTTTTTTTTTAAAAATTCGTACAGCACTTTTAAACCATCCTCGCTGTTAATATAATTTAGCATTGAATATTATTTTTATTTGTAAATTTGTCATTTTTTACAATTCAAATATTTGATGCTTAGAGCAATGTAACATTTGACGCTCAGACATAGTTAAAGCGATTTATTACCACGCTTGATTATATCACTCAAAGTCAAACAAATGTAGTTTTAAACTTAAGTCATTTTAAATACTTACTGTGGGCATTTAAATATTCATCGTTGAAAAATGTTTTATGAACTTGTTTTTGGACACGTATATCTGATGCCCAGATAAAATTCCATTGACGTTCAGACATAGTTAAAGCGATTATTTGACTACGCCTAATTATATCACTCAACGTCATACAATACTTTTCGGATTGTGAACATTATGTTGTGACTATAGATTTTTTTTGGGGTAAGAAATCATGAAACTATCATTCCTGTTATGTAATGACAGTATGCCTCTTCTAAAGGGACATTATAGACTATGAACCAAATTGCTTTGGTTTATGGATAAGGACTTTTGGGATATCCAATATAATAATTTATCATCTGTAGTCTAACAATCTCACCGATCGAACAATAATCGACTACGAGTCCCCACGGGCTAATTTATTTTTCAATTTATTCAAAACTTAACTGTTTCGCGTTTCACAATAAGAGCCGTTCTGCGGTCAAGAATGGTTCTCGAGTTTATTGTTTTTATACCCTCCACCATAACATGTAACATCTCGAAACATACATTTTAGACCCCACAAAGTACAGGGTGAGATAAAAAAAACTGCAACAAAGTCAAACGCCATAATTTTTATATTTTTTTTAATTTTATTGAATAAAAGCAACAAATGTCGGAAATAGCATCAAATTTTAGAATAAGTTAATAAGATTTGTTCGAGTTGGTCACCTTTGGCACGAATTGCTTTGTGGTATTTTGAAGCGCTTGCTTGCGGTGATCGACATTTTGGTATTTTTTTAGTGCCAACCTTGCTTTCCAAAATACTCCAGACACAATAGTCCAACGGATTAGTATCCAGAGATTTTGGTGGCCATTGTGTGCTGGAAATTAAACGAGAAACCTCATTTTGTAACCATTCTTGGGTGGCGCATCCTGAGTGCGATGGTGTCGAGTCCTGTTGGAATGTTCAAGGTCTGCGGCCAAAATGTTTGCGTGCCCAAAGCTTTAATACACGCTCCAGAATATTTTCGCGATAATATTCGGCATTTATTCTGATGCCACGGTCGAGCGGAGAGCGACCATCGGCTGTTATGGCGTCTCAAACCATTACCATGGCCGGTGCTTGAGTTCTGTTGGCCAACCGAGGGTGCACATTTTCAGCTGACCTCTTTGGCAAGTAAACACGATATTTTTGTTTGTTTACAAACTGCTGGACAACGAATGTTTTCTCATCGGAGAAACCCAAATCCGGTTCACCACGGCAGTTCGGCAGTTCACGAAGTAACTCTTTAGCTCTGTTGAGTATATTTTCTTTTTGTTGTGGGGTAAGTTCTTGCACTTTTTGGAATTTCAATGGTTTTACCCCGAGCTCGATGAAGTCGCTTCTTTACTTTTCAAACCATTTCTGTTGATGTTGCTGTTTTCTTCCGTCCACTTCCTTGACGTCGGGCTACGTTACCAGTATCACGGTAACGAGCGATGGTACGAGACACAAACGGTTTACCCACTTGTGATTTTCCAGCCAGTCTGAAGTTGATTGCAGTTTTATCATCTCACCCTGTATATATATTCTTGATCAGCATAAAATTCCATGTCGACTTAGCGATGTCCGCCCGTCTGTGACAATCACTCTAGCTTCCGAACAAAATGAAGTATGTTGATAAAATTTTACTCAAATGTATGTTATGTCTGCAGGACTTTTAGTATTGAAAATGGGCCATGTAGGTACACGTTTTGGTATAGCCCCCATATAATGGTACCTCCCTCTTTTCGGTATTTTGGTGATTTAAGAGACATTATTCATCGGAAATGTTCAAATTTGATATTTAAAGTTTTTAATGGAAGACAGAAAATTGTCCGTGCAGGTCCATCCCGGAATTGTTTCAAATTTGGTGTTTGAAGTTCGTAATGGATACTACAGCCTATTACAGAAAATTGTCTGTGCAGGTCCACGTTTTGGTATAGCCCCCATATAATGGTACCTCCCCTATATTCGGTATTTTGATTTTACCGAATATTTTTTTTGTTCAAGTTCGCATATGAATATTGTAATGGCTTATGACAAAAGTTGTCTATGCTGGTCCACGTCGTTGTATAGACCCTAATATAACGGCTACATTCGGTATTTTAATAGAAATTTTAACGGATTTTATTTTTTTTGAAAATTACCAAAATTGTTCCAAATGGTGGAGGAGGGTATTTAAAGTTCGGCCCAGCCGAAAGTACAGCCATTTTTTGTCAGATTCTCTTATGGTTTATATGTGTCCTTTCATCTAGCATTCCCTTTTTGGCATTGATTGTTTAAAGTTGAAAACTGTTCTCTATTTGGACCATAGTTTTGAACACGAACTTTTAATGCCTAGATTAATATTCTTTTTAACGTTCAGACATAGTCAACGCGATTATTACCCACGCCTGATTATATCACTCAACTTTAAACACTAATTTGAAATATTTTAATAATTTTATAAAAAAAATAGTTCAAAATCTTGACTGGCATCGACTATTTAATGTTGAAAGCTTCCCCTTTAATGGGAATGGCTTTGGACGCAAATATTTAATGCCTAGAAAAAATATTTTGGCGTTCAGACATAGTTAAAGTGATTTATGCCCACGCTTGATTATATCACTCAACGTTGAACAATAATAAATAATATCTAATAAAATTGTAACAAAAATTCGAAACCACTCAGCATTTTTGAAAAATAGTTTTTAAAAATCAGTTCTAATTGAATTTTATTTACCCTCCCTTTGCAGCTCTCACCCATCGAACGTTACGCAATGCGTTTCGTTGAAGAAACCGGCGCCGCCTGGACGGCCGAACAGTTACGTGCTGCCGAAGAAGAACTCGAGGCCCAGAAACGTGAATGGGAGGCAAATCGTTTGGCAGCTCTACAAAAAGAAGAAGAAATGCTCAAACAGGAAGCTGAAAATGATGAAATGCTAACATATTCCCGGAAGGATGCCACTAATCAGGTTAATAGACAAAAATCTAATGTTAAGACTAATAGAAAAAGATCAAATATGGTGGCTAGAAATCGAAATAGGGGAACGTCCAACACTGCTGCGGCTGCTGCTGCCTCGGCTAATAATAAACGACGGCGTTTGCAACAACTACGGAATAGTAGAAATATTGCAAATGCCCGAACATCAAGTAGAAGAGGTGGAGGAGCAGCAGCAATGTCGGCAGTGGAGGCGGAAACAAGCGATAACAACACCAATCGTAAACGTCGTATAAGTAATAGGCAACAACAACAGTTAAATGTACAAAAGAATAGACGTAACAGGACTACCTCTGGCGTTGATAGGAATAGAAAGCAAAGAAGACAACAGCAGAGACGCGGTAGAACGAATAGAATTAGTGGAGGTAGCTTGAGGGGGGATAGTGATGAAGAAAATAAAGAGGATGATGAAGACGATAGCGAGGCAGAGACAAATAGTGAGGATGAAGAACAAGAGCAGGCAATGGTTAGTGGTAATGAGGAAGCCAATGAAGATACAATGGAAGAAGTTGAAAATGAAGGGGATGACGGAGACAATGATGACGATGACGATGAAGAGGCAGAAGAAAACGACAATGAAAGTCAGGACGATGCTGAAAGTCAGGGTACTGACAATGAAGATGATAATGAGGTCAACAATACTGCTGACGAAGAAGAAAATGAAGATGAGGACAAAGGCAACGAACAATCTGAGGATGAGGAAGCAGAACACGAGCAACATACTGAAGACGATGGTGAAGAGTTAGACGAAAGCCAACAACTGAGCCGTAGTAGGTTAAGATCTTTGCGCGGTAGTAGTGCTGGTAGTTTTACGAAGAAATCCCCAAAGATTGTGCGCCGCAAATCTATGCGTCAATCTTTGGATACCTCCCATGCAACCAATAGAAAGACCACACGTACATCAATGGCTGCAGCAAGGGCGGGAAATCGCACCCAGCTAAGTGGGAGGAAATCTGGCGATCAGATTAACCGAAGAAGAAGAACGACATCGGCAGCTGCAGGTCCTGTAAAGACAGGAGTTAAAAACCAAAAATTATTGAGTTTCGCTCGTAAGCGTTTACGCCAACGCCAGGAAATGGCTAGAGTCAAAGATCAGACACCAGCAAAGAGGAAAACAAGTTTAAGTTCGGGTAAAACGCCACCGGCCAAGAGAAGAGCAACAGGTGCCAGAAGTGTGGGGCAAAGTAGCAGGGTTTTGAGACACAGTCCCAGGAAAGCAGCTCAGAAGGAAGAAGAACATGAAGAGGAGGAGAATGAACCCAAGCAGAATGAAGATGAGGGGGAGGAGGAATATAATGCAGAAGAGAATGAGAATAATGATGAAACCAACGATGATGTTGAAGACGAGCAACATACAATGGATGAGGGGCAGGATGATGATGATGATGATGAGGAGGAAGAGGATCAAGATGAACAACATAGTGATGAGGACGAAGAGGAAGAAGAAGAGGAACAACAACCAGAAGAAGAAAAGTCAAGAACCACCAACAGAAACTATTTGCGTTCTCGCCAAACGACATTGAGATCAAGAGGTGGTAAAGTTATGAAACCCCAGGAGGAAGATGAATCCGATGACGAAACATCCAACAATAAAAAAGAGAAAGATCAAGAAGATGATGATGAAGAGGAGGATGAGGAAGACAACGACAATGATGATAAATCGTCATATGCCACAGCCGGTGAAAATGTGGAAGAGGAACAACGTCATCAAATTGAACTTGGTGGCAATTCTAGCAGTATGGATGCCTGGAATGTGCACAACCAAGCCCAAGATACCACCACAAACTCAACATACTACAATGTTTCCGATGAGTCGGAAAGTGAAGACAATGAGACCATGGGTACAAGTTTGAATTCGACTCTCAAGAAAACACCGTTGGGTGGTGGCAATGCCAGGAGCTTACGTTCCAATCTTGCTGGTGGCGTTTCAGATGCTGCTGCCGGTGGAGGTGGTGGTGGTGGGGGTATATCATCGAGTACTCCACAACGAAATGAAAACAATCACACGCCACGAACACGTTCAAGGGGCTCGGTAAAAATTAATCTCTGGAAATTGGACGATAGTCCTGTTTTGCCCCTGTCTGGACATCATCACCATCATGGTGGAGGCGGTAGACACCACAAAACTCAACAAAATGCAAATGAAGAATCAGCCACAGTGAGTAGCAGCCCCAACAAGACCCCTACAGCTGCTTCTGGCACAAGCAAACGTGTTTCACATGCTTCGACAAAAACAACGAGCAGTGAAACTCCAACCAAATCTTCGGGAAATATAACAACCCTGCATCGTTGGCTCTTGAAGACACCAAGATCAACGGGTAATTCCGCTAGCCAACAGCAACAACAAGCCTCAAATGGTTCCCCCGCCACCGGAAAATCAACATCCCATGAAACGTCATGATGAAAATGGTTGGCCATGCAAAAAAATAAAATTTGGCCAATTGCAATTGGAAGGCACTGCAATAATTAGTTGAAGCTCCTTAGCTGGGTCATTGATGTGTGCGTTGGGTTTATTAACTTTTTATGGGTTTGATGATGATGATGATGATTTGGGACAAGAGGATTTCTCTGCTAAGGCTACCACTAAAATTTTATGTTTTAGCTTATTTTTCTTTCTTTTTAATACAAATTAACGGAAGCTTGTATCAAGTTTAACGTTAGTTAGATTTCCTTTCAACCAACAAATAACCAGTTGCTATTTTTAAGTACGTTAGTTATATGAGAACCCATGCTTTCTTCCTTATCTTTCAATACTCAAGCCTTTAAGAACATACGCAGCGACTTCTTTTAAAATAAAAATAAAGAAAATGGTTGGAGTTGGCTTTCATCGTCTTTCAATTTCTGCATTCCTCAGTTTGTCAAGTTTTCCTTCTTTCTTTGTTAAGTTTAGTTGGGAAAATTAACGTCTCGTCTTAGTTGAGTGGGAGATAGAGAATGATAGATGATCGGTCCTATCAACACAACCCAATTAGTTTTGGACCATGTAAACTTTTCATCCTGTATATATTAATATATAAAATTTAATGGTAAACAAAAATAAAATAATTTCTAAACTAGAATTTTCAATTTACAAAAAAGTATAGTTAGATTTAACAAAAAAAAAAAAGGAAAAAAACTGAAAATTAAAATACGTATAAAATGATCATATGTTAAGTGTTTTTGAGCAGGATAAGAAAACAAACCGGAAAACAACAGATTACTATTATATAAAAGAAAAAAAAATAGCTATGTATGTATGTACAACACCATCTTCTCCTCCCATCCCTTTGATATTTGTAAAAACATTGTTCTAATTTTTTATATTTTTAAGTTCAGGGATGTAAATGCCGAAAAACACATGATTTTTCCTTTTCATTTTGGGAATTTTAGAGAATGTATTTCCTTTCATATTGTACTTTTGAAAATAGGACCATATATTAAATAAAAATATACATTTCTTTTTAAATCATTCATTTAAAAATTAATGCCCTTCACCAATGGTGGTTGTGTGTATTTAAATCTCAGTATTCTGGTTTTCAATGAAACATAAATTAACAATTAATTCTTATATTTTTATGACTTGTTATTTTCATTTTTTCATTCTTAAGTCCGATTGAAAATTGTATTAACTCTTAAAAATTATTCAATGCATGGCCTATATATGTATGTGGTCGCTCAATAAGGCTACTGACAACTAAGTTTGCTGTTAAAAGATATAATTTTGAAATTGAAAGATAGCCAAATCACAATAGTGCAATTTTCTTTTATTGTAAAATTGTTATTGAGCATAGTCTTCTGTGTCGGTCTTCTGTCCGATCCTGGGGTAGGCAGAAATTCAACAAAAAAATGTTGTCGTTTTTATGCAAAATGGTAGCGACTGTCTGGCTGGGGTGCACCATAGCTCTCGAAGGGAGTATCCGATGTGGTCCAAACTTGGTATATCGTAATATTTTTGTCAAACTTAGATCGAGTTCGGAGATGGACAATATCGGTCCACTGCTTCTGGTACCTCCCCCACAAAAAAACGAAATTTTCGAAAAATATATTTTCTGCACAGAAAGGGAAACGATAATCCGATTTTGCTCCAACTTTGCAATTCCTAATATTTGCGTCAGTGCTACGTCAGGTGCGAAAATGGACAATATCGGTTCACTCCGTCAAGTACCTCCCCAACAAAGGGTCAACATTTTGAATAGTTACAACTCTTATAAAATGTGATATAAGAGTCCGATTGTCTTCAAATTTCACACATCCCAATATTTTTATAAACCTAAGATTTGGTGTTAGGATGGAATATATCGGTCAACTCTTTATTGTACCTCCCCCACAAAAGATAGAAATTTTCAAAAAATATTTTTTGCACAAAAAGAGAAAGGATAATCCAATTTTGCTCCAACTTTGAAAATCATAATATTTGCGTCAGATCTACGTCAGGTGCGAAAAAGGGTAATATCGGTTCACTCCGTCAAGTACCTCCCCAACAAAGGGTTAAAATTTTAAATAATTAAAACTCTTATAAAATGTGATATAAGTGTCCGATTGTTATTTTAGACTTGGCACATCTGAAAATTTCCATTACCACAGGATCTGTTATAAGAACGGTAGATATCGGACCATTCCTTCTGGTACCTCCCCTACAAAGGATCAACATTTTGAATATACATGAAGGTCATAAAACGCGAAATAAGCATTAGGTTTTCTTTATACACAAGATCTGTTGTAAATCCACTCCTTGTTCTTGTTGTTGTTGATCCACTCCTTCTGGTACCTCCCCCACAAAGGCTCAAAAATTTGAATATCCAAAAGCGAAATTAACATCCGATTCCATTCCAGACTTTATACATCTCAATATTTCCATTTCATATAATATAGTCCAAACCGGGCACATCGCAATATTTATGTCATATGTATTCAGGTCCGACACGAAATGGTCAATTTTGAACCATTTCTTCGTATCCTATACCATAGAGGGTCAACAATTTGAATAATCACAAAACACAAGTCAAAATATATTTTAATAATTGCCTGAGGATATACATCTGTCGGCTAAACTGACTGATACTTTTTAACTTGTTTTATTGTCAAATTCCCAAAAGAAGTCTTCTTGGCCGACCATATATATTGGCCTTGGCAAATACTATATAAAATTATTTCTAATTTCATGACCACTATTCAAAATTGAGTGTTTTCTAACACGGGAAGTTGAATATTGTTTAACTTCCCAAAAGTTAGGTTTTCATTTCTGTTTTCAAAATACAAATACCTAGGTTCCTTCCAACATATTTCCTTTAGGGTTTATCAAAACAATTTTAGAACTTCCATTAATTTTTAAAATACTCCAAATTGTTTCCTTTCCCAAAGAACAACATCATACAATACATACCATTTTTTTTTCAAAAAAAGTATATAAAAATTGCTTAAAATTATTACAAAAAACCCAACTTTTGTTATTTCATTATTTCGTTATTAAGTTAGAAATGTTAAGATTTTAGTTTTGCGTATATTATAATTTTTATAGGATACTCTCTCTTAACAAATAAGAAAAGGACTCTTGTGTATTTTGTTAATTTATATATGAAAGAAAAGAAAAAAAACAAACGGAAAACATCCCAAGTTCCACAAGAAACAACAAAAAAATATTTATTATTAATTTATGTATAAAAAAAAAACAAATTAAAAATGTAATAACAACTGACTCCTTATCATATATATATATAGAATAAAGTACGACCAAAACTCACCATTTTCAATGGAAATGGTGAGAAATATGTTGTACTTACACAATCCCAAAAGAAACAAAAAAAAAAACTGAAATTATCTCTAAAGAAAGAAAAAAAAGAACAACCAATAAAGGCTTTTAAGAAAATAACCTAAAAAATAATTAAAAAAAATAAACATAACCTCAAAAGTGTTTTATTTATTTTTTCCGGTCAACAAGAAAAACACACAAGTGAAGACAATTTTGAATGAAAAGAAAATCTAGAACAAAAATCTTTGGCCCTTTGACTCTCTTTTTCAATTAAAAATTAAATAACAACAAATGAAAAAAAAAACCTATCAACAAAAATAGTGAAATTACATAAAAAATAAACAAGAAAGAAAATTCTTCAATTACTCCCAAAAAAATATTATTTTCTTCTATGAGCGCTCTATCAACTAAATAAACAATGCAAATCTGTTTTGGTGTCATAATTTATAAAAAGAAAAAAAAAAAAAGACGGAAAACATTCATTACAAAAAATTATTATTGTCTATGGAAAGTTGTTTGGTAATGGCAAAACAATTCGAAACAAAACATTTATACATACATATTTTGAGCGGGGCACCAAAACAGTGTTTAATTTATAAAACTAAAAAAAAAAATCAAAACAAATTTTATATCATAATAATTACAATTCAAAATTTACTTGCCATTCCCAAACGGCCTTAGATTTGTTTTTTTCTTTGATTCACCAAAAAAAAAAAAAATTGTTTTTTGCTGCTGTTTTTTGTCAAACTGTTGCTGTGAAAAAATAAATAACATTTTTTCCCAAGAAGAATCGAAAAGAATGATCTTTTTTAAGAAAACCTTAACTAAGTCACCAAAACAGTTTCTGTTTGCTTGCCTATTTTTTAAAAGAAAATAATATTTTTTGTGTGTGTGTAATAATAATAACAACAATTTTCTTTTCTTCTTTATTTTTTTTCGGTGAATTTTTTTTGCCTGCTCACTTTCTACTATCCTACGGCCAATGACTGCCATCCATCGTCCCGCCCCTACAAAACAATTTCCATTCATCAACATTGTCTTCACTTCTTCAATAGATATGGATTTCGGCCAATACCATGGAACAAATGCCGGTAAGTATTATTTACTTGTTTTTTAGAATATATTTTGGAAATTGCAAGGAAAAAAAAACAGAAGCTAGAAACAAAGTTTCTTTGTTTCTTCCATAAATACAGAATATTTGTCCAGTTTGAATATTTTCATGTACTGTCCATGTATTTTTGTAAACAAAGTACAGATCGCATTTATCGCCCTATCCAGATGAAATTTTGCATAAATCATTTGTTTGGGCCAAGGACGAACCCTATTGAAATTGGAGATAATCAGTAAAAATTTAGATATAGCTCCCATATATATCTTCGTCCGATTTGCCTTTTATTGTGCACCAAAACATGTAATATCATCCCGAATAGTATGGAATTTTGCACATAAACCAAATTAGGACTGAAAATAAGTATGCCAAATTTGCTATAGCTCCAATATATATTGTTCATCCGATTTTTTATTTTAGTCCTCCGCAGCCGTAATATGCACTCTGTAACAACATTATTCGGGGAAATATATCAAATGCAGCTCAGAAATACCTTTTTACCTAAATTTTATCGAGATCGGTTCAGATTTGAATATAGTTCTCATATATAACTTCGTCCGATTTACTTTTTTTGTGCACCAAACGTCTAATATTTGATGAAATTTGGCACTTACTACCGAATTGAGTCTAGAAGCTAGTATGTCAAATTTGGTGAAAATCGGTTCAGATATAACTATAGCTCCCATATATATTGTTCATCCGATTTGTTATATTTGATACCCACAGCCGTAATATGCACTCCGTAACAACGATATTCAAGGAAATATATGCAATAAAGCTCAAATTTTATCAAGATAGGTTCAGATTCGGATATAGCTCCCATATATCAAATGGGCAATACAAGTCCGACTTTAAAAGATACAAATGCTTCGGCATATTTTGTCTTTTGAACTTTAAATTACAATTATAATCATAGCGTGTATGATTGAATTCTCCCATAAAAAACTTTTAATTGTTATGTGGAGCTCTACTAAATTAGCAAAGTGGGTGTAGGGCCCCGCCCGACTTTAAGATTTTTTTACTGTTTTTTTTTTTTTTAATTTTGTCAGAATTCAATGTTTTTGCTGTTGCAAGTTCGTCAAGTCCAATTTTTGTGATATATCCACATTTAATCCCCCAAACACTGACAAGTTTTGTGTGATAAATTCGTATGGGTAGAAATTATTTTGGTCCAAAACGGCTGATTGTACCCATACCCCACTACATTTGATACGGAAACTTTCTTCTATTCATAAAATATTTCCCTAAACAGTTATATATCTTTCCTTAAAACATTGTCAAGCTATAAGCGATCCCCTAAAAATATCCTTTTAAAAAGAGACTGGGATGTTATATCAACAACACCGTCAGAGAAAATCCCTCCCTCTATGCACCGACGTAGCCCGGTATCCCTTCGAAATATATTTAGAACATGGTGCTTGAAATATTTAGTATACCCTACACAACACTGTGTGTCGGGGGTATTATACGTTTGATTGGGCCAAAAATTATTAATTCTATCTCGCAAATCTGAGCCGATCTAGTATGTCCGTCCGATACTCACGAGATGATCGCATAATATTTAGGGGTTGAAATAGACCAAAAACTTAAAAATTTTATTGAATGAAAGCAAAAAATTTCGGAAGTAGCATCAACTTTTAGAATAAGTTTAGATTTGTTTGAATTGGTTACCTTTGGCACAAATTATGGCTTTCAAACGGCCAATGAAACCGTCACACGCTGCCCGAATGTTGCTCTGCGGTATTTTGGCCCATTCCCGGCAGAGCGTTTGATTGAGGTGATCGACACTTTGGTATTTTTTAATGCCAACCAAAATACTCCAGACACAATAGTCCAACGGATTGGTATCCAGAGATTTTGGTGGCCATTGTCAAATGTTTGCGTGTTCAAGGCTTTAATACACTCTCCAGAATATTTTCGCTATAATATTCGGCTTTTATTCCGATGCCACGGTCGATTAATACGAGAGGAGACCGAAAATCGGCTGTTATGGCGTCCTACATCATCATCATGGCCGGGGCTTGAGTTCTGGTGGCTAACCGAATTTTTGAGTCTATTTTCTTTCTGTTGCGGTGTAAGTTCTTGCACTTTTTGAAATTTCAATGGCTTTACCCCTAGCTCATTTTATAATATTTGCCGAATGGAATATTGCGATATGTTCAGCTCACGAGCCATTTTTCGGCCACTGCGACGTCCACTTCCTTGACGTCGGTCTACGATAGGGTCTCGTTGAAACCATTTGTTAGCTCGTCTTAAGACAACCTAACCAAAGTTGATTGGATTCATAATCCTCTTCATTGTTTGAACAATATTTTTAACCTTATTCGAAGCATCTAATTTCTGTCCGTTTTTAAGGATTCTTTTAAAGTCTAGAATATAGGCCCCCAAACTTTTAATTTGCTTTATTTCATTCAGATTTCTCTAATTTATTTGAATTTCATAATTTTATTTTTCTCTCTCCCTTAGATGTGGTGCCCACCAACACCGCCGCAAGATAACGATGACATCTACATCGACTATTCGCTGACATTCTTATATGACTTGGATCCAATACCGGAAACAGAATTACCACCCGTATACGTCAAAAAAGAATATAAACGTTCTCGCTCAGATGCCGGTTTCCTTATTGATGGCAATAAGAGACCAGCAAAAATGCGACGTGAAGAAATGTTCTGTGCTCCCCGGTCGCTGTTCGATCGGCCATCGGCAGCTATAGCTCGCATCCGACGTGATCTGAAAAATCAACGTTACAGGGGAACGTTCAAACCCAATGTACAGATTCCAGGTCTCAAGCCACAAATACCCCAGAAACCAATACCCGAACCCGAGGGCATGGCCGAATGGTGTATATACGAAGATATTGCCATACTACATGTTCTGGTGAATCTACAGGGCTTGCCCTGCAATCTAATGTTGCTGTCTCCAGGCCATACACCCAATTGGGATCTGGTGGCGGAGATTGTAAATGCCTATTCGAAAACGTATAGATCACCTAAACAGTGTAGATGGCGTTATGAAAATGTAATACAACCACGCGAAGAGGGCAAACTGGTGGAGAGTCCCAAGAAACAGAAAAAACTGAAGGCCAATCTGAAAACGGAATATCTTAAAAGTCCTCTGCGTTGTTTGCGGACAACTCAGCTGTATGCCAACGACAACAATGCTTCGTTTACGAAAATCATGAAGGGACGATTCGATTGTATTAAGACGGCATATTTGAAAAAGGCTCCGGCGCCAAAGCGTCACTTTATCACATCGAGTCTCATGAATCCCAAACACATGGAAGTGCTGCAAGAATTTGGTATTGTAAATTATGATCAGCCCATAACACCGCAGAACATTGCCATAATGAGAGCAAATAAAATGCGTGAAAAACAAAGGACACAATGTTTGCCGCCACCACCCTCTGTTGCTGCAGCTAGTTCTGGGTCTACAGCCTCCGCTGGGCAACAAACTGCTGCGGCCAGTGCTGTTGCTGCTGCTGCAGGAGGCCAGACAGCACAGGGAGGGGGATCGTGTTGTGTTACCACAACGTCTGGGGTCAATGTCGTCCAGCCGCAGCAGCAACAGGCTCAGCAAAGTTCGGCCACTAGTCATTTGCAGGAGTTGGTGCAGCAGCAGCAACAACAACAGGTGCAACAAGTCACGACATCTGCTCCTCCAGGTTTGCATACACAGCAACTGCAGATACATCAACTGACGCCCACAGGAGGACAATCAACGCCACAACAACAAACAGCAACAGCAATCGTACTTCAACATGCCTCTGGCTCAGGTGGTGGCCAACAATTGCAGCAACAACAAACTGTCGTCAGTGGATCCAGCACCCCGCAGCATTTGATTAGACATGGCAACATAACAGCTTCACAAATTGTAAAGACCATTGTGGCTCAAACCGGCCTTTTAACAACTGGCCAAGTCCAGCAGCTGCATCAGCAACAACAAAACCAAAACAACCAAGGCAATTCGCCTCAGGTCGGACAACATGTTCAACTGCAACAACAAAGCGGTGGCAGTGGTAACATGGTGGCACCCCCACTCTCGGTTTCGGTGGTTCTGACACAACCCGTTCAGACTATTTCGTCCAATGTTCAAAATCAAGTGGCCCATCATTCGCAGGTGTCGTCATCGACAGCTCAAATTGTCTCGCTTTCACCACAAACCATTGTCTCCAGCTCAGCCCAGGTGGGTAGTATTGTCCACACCCAATCACTGCCCCAAGTTGTGTCAGTCTCACAATTGGCCACTGTTGGCACCGTCCTAACAACATCCAGTGGAATGCAACAGCCAACGGGTACAGTGACAACACTTAACACCTCGGCATTGAGAGCACAACGCATTGTGGCAGCTTCAAGTGGCACTACACTACAGGATGTGGTGTTACAACAACGTACTGCCGGTAATCCCAGTCCCACAATTGTTTCGATGTCAAGTCTCGGTTCGAATGTTGGCCAGGCTTCGTTGCAGGCAGCACAATTCCAATTGGCCTCCATGCCATCGGGTACTCAACAAGTTGTTACCAAGGGCATACGAGTTAGTTCTCTGCAACAAGGCCAGAAACTGGCACCAGGAGGTGCTGGTGGTACCACAGCTCAGGGCCAACAATCAGCCCACATACAATCGTATAGACAACGGCAGCTCAAGGTATTACAGGCCACCGGACCGGGACAACAGGGTCAGCCGACAGTTGTACAAACAGCTTCGGGCCAAGCTGCTTTGGTCAATGCTCAGGGTACCATAATTGGAACTGGACCCACAACGGTACAGGTCGTACAGGGACAAAAGGTAACAGTGGCCACCTCGAATGTGGCAGTTACCACACCCAGTGCCACAGGTGTGGTGACAACAGTGGCCAATCAAATGCATGCCCAACAGGTACAGCAAACGCGTGCCCAGTTTATCAAACAGGTTTCCGCATCGGGAAAACAAATATTTACCCGCCAGGTTGGCGATAGTGATATGCTGTTGGTTAAACGACAAATGATCTCAGCTGCGGGTCAACAGAAAACTGCCCAAGTTATACAACAGGGTGGACAAATCTATACCACGACAGGTCAAGGTATAACCCTGCAACAGCAATCTCAAGCTACCACATCAGGCGGGAACGCCGTTCAGCAGCAGCAGCAGCAGGGGCAACAGCAAACCACCACACAAGTTGTGCAACAGGTGACGCCTCAACAAATTGCCACATTGGTAAAGACATCTGGTGCCTCGTCTGGTGGCAATGGTGGTCAGGGGGTTACAGCTGGCCAGCAACAGCAAACCCAAAATACCGTTAACATGGCTCTGTCGCAGCTTAAGCCGGGCGGTCAAATAAAGGTCACCATGGCCAATCAATCGCAAATGCGTCAATTACACATGCAACAACAACAATTGGGAATGCCAAGGAAAATTTCACGAATGACCCAAATCCAGGCTGCGCAAGCTGCAGCAGCGGCGGCTGCTAGTCAACAACAGCAGCAGCAGCAACAACAACAAGTTCAAAATGCCAACACCACTATGACACAATCGGCAAGTTTGCAGCAACAGCAGCAGGGTGGGCAAAAACAAGGCAGTAGTGGTGGAACGTCTGCGGGCTCATCCGGATCGGGTGGAGTGCAAACCCAATTGGTCCACATCCAAAACACAAAGAATCTTTCGTCATCGGTAACCGTCCAACAAATACAACAAGTGATGCGCCAAGGCCAACCCGGCACACTGGCAACCACTGGCTTTGTTTTGGGTAAAACTAGTGTGGGTCGGGTTATCCCTGTTTCTGTCGCCTCACAGCCGAATCAGCGTCAAACTATACAGGTAAGGAGAAGGTTTCAAAACAAATTTTAGTTTTGAAAGTTCAATATCCACAGACATGGATAATATCCATTGATGTGGATAATATCCATAGACGTGGATAATAAAATAATGAAATAAATAAAATCCACAGACTTTGAAAAATCCACAGTCGTGAATGAGATACACAGACGTGGATGGGATCCGCAGATTGGATAACATCCACATACGTGGATAATATCCATAGACGTGGATAATATTCATAGATATGGATAATGGACGTGGATAATTTCCATAGACGTGGATAATATCCATTGACGTGGATAAATTCCGTAGACGTGGATAATATATACAGATATGGGTAAGATCCACAGATGTGGGTTACAATATTCACAGACGTGGATATTGTTCACGGATGTCGATAGGATCCACAGGCTTGGATAAAATCCTTAGTCCTCGATAATATCCATAGACGTGGATAATGTTCACAGCTGTCGATAGGATCCACAGACTTGGATAAAATCCATAGTCCTCGATAATATCCATAGACGTGGATAATGTTCACAGCTGTCGATAGGATCCACAGACTTGGATAAAATCCATAGTCCTCGATAATATCCATAGATGTGGATTATTTCCATAAACGTGGATAATATTAACAGATGTCGATAAGATCGCAGACTTGTATAAAGTCCATAGACCTCGATAATATCCACCGAAGTGGATAACATTCACAGTCGTGAATGAGATCCATAGACACACACAGATTGGATAATATCCGCAGGTAGGGGTAATATCTATAGACGTGGATAATATAAACAGTTTGGATAATATCCACAGACGTGTATAATATCTATTAACGAGGATAATATCTAAAGACTTGGACAATATTTATAGACGTGGATAATGGATGTGGATTTTACAACTTGCAGCTGGATATTTACCCACGGTGGTGGGAAATTTTTCAGCTTTCCTTCTGTGATTCCTTTCTAATAATTCTCTATTTTTCTTAATATCCCTAGGTGGTTTCGGCAGCCTCAGCCCAAGCTCTAACTGCTGGCAATTTGAGGGCTCATGTGGCAAGCGGTCAAAATATAGCCGGTACTATTAAGGTTGCCACATCCGGTGGCGGTTCACAGTCCCAAACTCAACAGGCAATTATTACCGCCATACAACAGCAACAACAAAATCAAAGGCAAAATGCCAGCCCGGTGCGATTGCAAACAACGGCTGGTGGCAATTTGGTAGCTGTGGTACAGCAACAATCTTTGCAAGATCAACAACAACAGCAGCAACAACAACAACAGCAACAAACCCAAAATGTTATGGTCACTACCTCGGCTGGTGGCAACAGCAATCAAACTGAAATAATGACCATTACCTCGTCGGGGACAACATTGACCACGGGAACACAACAACAGCAAACGCAACAAGCAACACCACAACAAGTTAGGACATTGGTGAAAAAGAAAATCATGCAAATACGCAGTGAAAACAAGGAATAATTGTAAACAAAAAAGAAAACTTACAAAAACTTAAGAGAAACAGAACAATTTTTAAAATTTCAAATATTTGGGAGGGTCTTAAATTATGTTCCCTCCCCCTAATCTACAACGACAAGTATTATTCGTTTTAATGTTTTTTTTTTTTTTCAATAACAAAATATTTATTATAATAAATTTTTTTGATTTCTCAAATTTGGTTAGAGGTGTGTATAAAACCATAGTAATATAAACGCATAACAACAAAATTAAATGTAATAAAGCTTTAGTTTATAAATTATTAATCTCTTAAATGTCTACTTTTTGTGTAGGGCTTTAGAGCAAAACACTTTTTAAGGTCTATATATAAATATAATAGCATATTTGATATTAGTTTTAATGTTTAAAATAAACAAATTCATGAAAGAAACATAAAATACACAAAACAACTATATTTTTCAAAATTGAACTCTTGTAATTAATCCAAAAATTATTTTCTCTTTTTTTACCAACCCTTGAAAATTACTGTTTATAGAATAAAAAAAAAAAACATAAACAAGGAAAAGAAAAAGTTATAAATTTTAAATATAATAATAGTATTTTAATTATTATCTATAAATAACAATAAAAATAATACAAAAGAAAATATTTGCCCCTACTTTTGCCAAGGAGGGCATTCTACATTATGTAATGTAAATTACTTACACATAAATAAAAATAAAGAAACATAAATATAAAATCTTAAAACTAAATAAATTAAATCTGGTTATATTTTCATTCAAATTTATATTTCTAGAAAAAAGAACTGAGCGGTGATTTTATAAGAAAGAAAAAAGAAAATTCAGAAAAAATCATGCAAATGTTAACAACGACTGTGTCTTCCAATATTTCGGCCGGTATCTCCCGAATAAATGCTTCAATCTTGTCATCCAATGCGTCAATTGAAGCAAGCTCCTATGTATAGACATGCGCTTTTGCATAGTCCCACAAAAATTGTCTAAGGGTGTTAAATTGCACAATCATGACGGCCAATTGATCGGTGCCGACGTTAAGTAAAATGTTCATCGAACTCGTCTCACGATAATGCCATAGTTAGTTACGCGTCTTGTTTAAACCACATGTCATGCATGTCAAGCTCCTGCATTTTGGTAAACAAAAGTTACGTTACGATTTGCAGGATCTTCGAAGAAGTACGGTCCAATGATACCACCACCAGCCAATAAACCGCACCAAATTGTGACTTTCTGAATGTTTTGGTAGCTTTTGCAATGCTTCTTCTGATCTTCACACCAAAATCGACAATTCTGTTTATTAAGTAGCCATTGTGCCAAAAATAAGCTGACCATAAAATGGAAGAAGTACGCTACAAAATATCAGTGGAGTTTTAATAAAAAAAACCGTGTCATAGAATAGCCCGCGAAATTAGCCGAATTTTTGAATCTGGAGTTAGAATCGTATTAACAGCAGACAAACAAAACATGTGTAGCAGTTACAAAGCAGTTACTGTTAAAGCCTGTTTTGGCATAAAGAGGATAGCAAAAAAATAACGCTTTAGAAAAGTCCACATAAATATCATAATTTTTATTTCCTTTAACAGACCTTGATTACGACCTGAAATGTTTAAAATGGACATGATGGCCAAATAGTTTTAATGTTATCAATGCTCAAAAATTCAAAGTATTTCTTAAAATCCACGATTATGTCCTTGAAGTTCCTCATTAAAATATTTCTTAAAAATTCACGTTGATTGTTTTTAAAATATTCCCTAAATAATCACAATTTTGGCTGTCAAGTTCCTCTGAAAATGTTCCTTTTTGTTGCTCTGGAAAATGTTCCTCTTCGTTGCTGTAATGGTCCTTGATAAAATATTCTTTAAAAATCCACGTTTATTGCTCCTTAAAAAAATGCTTCTAAATTTCCGAGTTCATTAACCTAATGGTCAATAAAATGTAAACCCACGTTTATTGCCTTGATATTCCTTAAAATATATTCCTTCACAATGTACATAATTGGTCTAATAGTCCTAGAAAAAATGTTCCTTAAAATCCACTGATGATTTTTGCAAAAATATTCGTTAAAAATTCACGTTTGTTGGTCTAATGATCCTCGAAAAAACTTCCCTAAAATCCACCTTTGTTGGTCTGATGATCCTTGGAAAATATTCCTTAAAATCCACGTTTGTTGGTCTGATGATTTTTGCAGAAATATTCCTTGAAAAAAAACTTCTCTAAAAATCCACCTTTGTTTGTTCTGATGATCCTGGGAAAATATTCCTTAAAAATCCACGTTTATCCCTCTGATGGTCCTTAAAAAAATATACCTAAAATGTTCACGTTTATTTGTGTGATGGTCCTTGCAATAATTTTCTTTGAAAAATCCAACTTTGTTGATCTGATTATCCTTGTGAAAACATTCCTTAAAAATCCACCTTTGTTAGTGTAATGATACTTGGAAAAACTTTCCTTAAAAATTCACGTTTGTTGGTCTGATGATTCTTGGGAAAATATTCCTTACAAATTAACGTTTATTGCCTTGATGTTCCTTGAAAATGTGTATATTGGTCTGATAGTTCTGAAAAAAATATTCCTTAAAAATCCAGCTTTGTTAATCGGATAGTCCTGAAAAATATTCCTTGAAAACTCACCTTTTCTGTCTGACGATCCTGTCAAAAATTTTCCTTAAAAATTCACTTTTATTGCTCTTATCAATCTTGTGAAAATATTCCTTAAAACTCCACCTTTGTTGGTGTAACGATCCTTACAAAAATCTCCCTTAAAAATCCACGTTTGTTGGTCTGAAGTTCCTTGTGAAAATATTCTTAAAAAATCCATATTTGCTGGTCTGATGATCTTTACAGATATATTCCTTAGATATTCACGTTTATTCCACTGGTGGTCCTTAAAAAATATACCTAAAGTGTTCACGTTTATTTTTTCTGATGGCCCTTGAAAAAATATTTCTTAAAAGGCCACGTTTGTTGGTCTGATGGCCCTTGAAAAAATATTTCTTAATAGGCCACGTTTGTTGGTCTGATGATCTTTGGAAAAAATATTACTTTAAAGTCCAAGTTTGTTGTTCTAACGATTATTTTAAAAAATATGTCCATGTTTTTTGATCTGATAGTCCTTGCAAAAATATTCCTAAAAAATCCACGTTTATTGCACTGATAGTCCTTGCAAATTTGTTGGTCTGATGATCCTTGAAAAAATATTACTTTAAAGTCCAAGTTTGTTGTTCTAATGATTATTTTAAAAAATATGTCCATGTTTTTTGATCTGATAGTCCTTGCAAAAATATTCCTAAAAAATCCACGTTTGTTTGTCGGATGATCCTTGCAAAAGTATTCCTTTAAAGTCCACGCTTATTGCCTATAAAAAGAAATTTCCCAAATATCCACGTTTATTGGCCCGAAAGTTCTTGAAAATATTCTTTAAAAAAACCTCGATTATGGCCTTGATAGCTCTTGAAAAATATTCCTTGGAACTCCACGATTATTGCCTCTATAACCCTTGAAAAAATACTCCTTAAAAAACCTAGAATATTGCTTCGGTATCCTTGAAACAATATTCCATAAAAAGAACGGTTATTGCCTTGAAACCTATTATTTCTTTAAATTTCCTGATTATGGCCTTGATAACCCTTGACAATAAAAATTACTTTCAGTTCCACGATTATTGCCTATATATCTTTTGAAAACAAATTTCCCCAAATATCCAAGTTTATTAGCCCGACAGTTCTTGAAAAATATTCTTTAAAAATCCTCGATTATGGCCTTGATAGCTCTTGAAAAAATATTCCTTTGAACTCCACGATTATTGCCTGTATAACCCTTTAAATAATATTCCTTAAAAATCCAAGAATATTGCTTTGGTAACCTTGAAAAAAATATTTGATAAAAAGAAGAACGGTTATTGCCTTGAAACCCATTATTTCTTTAAATTTTCTGATTATGGCCTTGATAACCCTTGAAAATAAAAATTACTTTCAATTCCACGATTATTGCCTGTATATCCCTTGAAAAGAAATTTCCCTAAATATCCACGTTTATTTTTCTGACAGTTCTTGAAAAAATATTCCTTAAAATCCTCGATTATAGCCTTGATAGCACTGTGAAAAAATAGTCCTTAGAACTACACGACTATTGCCTTATAACCCTTGAAAAATATTCCAACAATATTACTTCGGCATCCTTGAAAAAAATATTCCATAAAAATAATGATTATTGCCTTGGAACCCTTCATTTCTTAAAATTCCCTGATTATGGCCTTCATAACCCTTGAAAATAAAAATTCCTTTAAAGTCCACGATTATTGCCTATATATCCTTTGAAAATAAATTTCCATTGGTGTGACAGTTCTTGAAAAACATTCCTTAAAAATCCTCGATTATGGCCTTGATAGCTTTTGAAAAAATATTCCTTAGAATTCCACGACCACTGCCTTTATAAGCCTTGAAAATGATTCCTTAAAAATCCAAGAATATTGCTTAGGAATCCTTTGAAAAAACATTCAGAAAGGAGAACATTTATTGCCTTAAAGCCTTAAATATCTTGATTATGGCCTTGATATCTCTTAAAATATTCCTTGATATCTCTTAAAATATTGAATTTCCTTGTATCCCAAACATCCTAAGATTTGCGCTTGAAACCCCCTCCTACGAATAATCTACATTTCCACCATGGCTGTATTTTTACTCCAAAAAAGATTTTTTCTTCAGAAAAATTATTTTATTAAGAATCTTAATTTTAATTAATTTAATTTACCAGAAACCCCACCCACCCAATCTACCACCATATTCCCAAATCACTGAACAACTCCTCGGATGAGGGTAGCTTGAAATCTTCATTTAACCATTCCGACTCATTTTCATCATGTTTCTCCTTGCAGCCATACTCCTTTTTGTAGCCCATTTTACGTAAATCCTCTGCATCATCATCACCCTCTTCCTCCTCATCGTCTTCTACCGCTTCCAACGTTGAGGATTTCTGAAAAGGTTTCAATCGCTTCACAGCGCCTGCTGTCGATTGCATTGGCTTAACATTGAGTATATCATGCCATGTTTCGGTATTAACATCTGGTTTATTTTCAATTTCAGCTTTTTGGGCAACCACTTGAGATTCCACTGTCTTCAGTTCCATTACACTGGTGGTCTGCAGCTTAGCGTCGTTCGATGCCAGCCGTACGATGCGATCAAAAAATGTGGCAAAATGTTTACGGAAACGTGTGTAATCAAAGGTGTCCTGACTGGCGGTGGCATCGATCATATTATTTTGGGTATTGGTGTTTTTCGATCGACTTAGTGGGCCGTAATGATGTAACATATCAATGCCGGCAGCCATTGATTCTTCCCAACTCTGTGACGATATTTGTAACAGATTAGTTAAGATTGTAAGTAAGAGATTTTGGAACTCACCAATTCCGTCCAATCTTCTGTGGGTGTGGTGAGGACCGAACAAACAACCTTGATAATTTTCTCTTCCAGATGTAAGCATGAGATAATAATTTTGGCCACGACCAAGGCACAGGATAAATCACACCTTTGTCTGAAACAAAGTTTGAAAAAAAAACGAAATATAATGTTTTGAGGTTATGATGTCTAATCTAAATTATGTAAACCTAGGTTAGGTTGGGGCTACAATTAATAATGAAGCTCAATGTAATAATTGCTCCTCTCTCTCTCTCTCTCTTCTCATTATCTGACTCACCTCAATTCATCTTTACGCATATCCATGAGCTTATCTCCTTCGGCAATTAAATGATCGTAATTTTCTTCAATTTGCATGACCAGAGTCTCTTTGGGTTCATCATCGGATTTCTCCTGCAGTTTTCGTTGCAGATCCTTAAACTTTTGCCATAAATCGTCCAGCTCCAGCTAAAAGTATAAACGATGAATTTCGTCCTAGTTAATTAATTTAGGGTAGAGTTGGGTTTACCGTTTGCTTTCTAATATTCTCTTGGGTCTCATGATGCACATCAATCCTATGGAGTATAGGTTGGGCCGGTATAAATGCAGCTGCCTGAAGTATGTGCTGCCGATTTGGAGATTTTTCCTTAGGTGTCTTTGAATTAGATTGCATTTCCAATGATTTTTCCATCAAACGTTCCATAATCAGGGGGAATGTTTCCAAGTAGTCTGATTGAATTCTGGAAATAGGAATAGGGGAAATTGGAGAGAAATAACGGTGGATTATTAAGGAAAGTTTTTTTTCTAGAGCTACAAGGCCATGATCGAGGATTTTTAAGGAACCAACATACGTGGATTTTTAAGGAATATTTTTGCAAGGATATTCATACCAACATACGTGGATTTTTAAGGAATATTTTTCCAAGGATCATCAGACCAACAAACCTGACAATTTAAGGAATATTTTTTCAAGGATCAATTCAAGAATTGTGGATTTTTAAGGAATATTTTTGCAAGGATCATGAGACTAACAATCCTGGTTTTTTGAAGAATATTTTTGCAAGGATCATAAGACCAACAAACGTGGATTTTTAAGGAATAATTTTGCAAGGATCAAACCTTGGATTTTTAAGGAATATTTTTGAAAGGATCATGAGACCAACAAACATGGATTTTTAAGGAATAATTTTGCAAGGATCAAACCTTGGATTTTTAAGGAATATTTTTGGAAGGATCATGAGACCAACAAACATAGATTTTTAAGGAATAAATTTGCAAGGATCACACCTTGGATTTTTAAGGAATATTTTTGAAAGGATCATGAGACCAACAAACATGGACTTTTAAGAAATAAATTTGCAAGGATCATGAGACCAACAAACGTGGATTTTTATGGAATATTTTTACAAGGATCTTCAAAGTAACAAACTTGGATTTTTAAAAATAGGCTTTGCAAGGATCATCAAACAAACAGACATGGACTTTTATGGAATATTTTTGCATGGATCATGAGACCAACAAACGTGGTTTTTAAGGACCCTCTTAGAAATGAATTTATATTGTTGAGAAGTATTTTTGCAAGGGGCGTCACACCAACAAACGTTGATTTTTAAGAATTATTTTTGCAAGGACCATCAGACCAATAAAAGTGGATTTTCGAGGAAAATTTTTGCAAGGATCATGAGATTAACAAATGTGGATTTTTAAGGAATATTTTTACAAGGACAACCCGATGAATGATCTCGAAATTTTAAAGAATATTCTTCCAAGAATGATCAGACAATTTAAGGGTTTTTTTTTGGAAAGGATCATCAATCTAATAAAAGTAGATTTTTAAGAACCCCCTGAATAATAAGTGTATATTATTAAGGAGTATTTTTGCAAGGAACATCAGACCAATGAACGTGGATTTTAAAGACACCGATCCTCAGATCAGCAAACGAGGATTTTAAGAAAATTTTTTTCAAGGATCATCAGATCAGTAATTGTGAATTTTTAAGGAACAATTTTCTAAGGACCATCAGATCAAAAAATGTAAAAAAATGAAAAATGAAAAAATATGTCAAACAAATTTAGGCTCATAATACTGTGCAAGACTAAAAATAATTACGGAACAAAAATTCAAAAGATTATGAAAGTAAGGCTAAAAATAGAAGACACAAGTATTGGCGTAATAATCAATTTCTACAGTCTGTGATAGAGAATTGTCTATGCAGGTCCAGGTCTTCGTATAGGCCCCATACATCAGTACAATATTCGGTATTTTTACGATTCTAGGTACAATACCCATCGAAATTGTTTGATTTGTCGTATTTGAAGTTCGTATTGGATGCTACATGCTACAGAAAATTGTCTATGCTGGTCCAGGTCTTCGCACAGCTCCGATATAACGGTACCTCCCTATATATCATATTTTGACGATTTTAGCTTCACCGTTTATTTCAAGTTTGTATTTAAATATGGTAATGGCTTGTGACAAAGAATGTCTATGTAGGTCCACGTCGTATAGACCCCAATATAACGGCTATGTTCGGTATTTTTAACATTTTAACAGAATTTTTTAAGGATATTATTTTTTTATTATAATTTCCAAAAGTGTTCCAAATGGTGGAGGGTATTCAAAGTTCAGCCCGGCCGAACTTACTGCTTTTTAACTTGTTAGTATCTTCTTCTTCTTCTGAATTTTCCCCTCATTATTGGAAAATAGAATTTTGTGACACATTTCTTTAGAATCAACAGCTTACTTTACATATGTAACTCTTAACATGCTATGTAAACTGATCTTCAGTACCCTAATTCTCCGACCGAAAACTCACCTAATCCGATTTGAATTCTTGGCCGCAACAATTGTTATAATCTCTTCCTGACTTTCATCGACTGTGGTCAGCAGCACCAAACCCAAGGCCTGTATGTCCGATTCCCAGCTAACAAATTCCGAAAAATAGTTAGTCAACTTCACAGCATCCTCGCCAGCGTTGACATTGAAGGTTAATTTAATGGTCGCCGCTTTTTGAGGTTGTTTGGTCTTGAAAAACATATTTAAAGGTAAGTACGCCGTCTTTTGTATGACCCTTGGTATACCACGGGTAGAAATAAACGAAACAATAGCCTCCACCTTGGCCGTCGGAATATGCAGTAGGTCGCATGTATAAAAATCCAATTCCATGGTTTCTTTGCTGTCCGCCTTTATGTCGGTATAGGTCAATGAATCCTGAGAACATTTGATGCCATCGGGCAAATTGAAAACCACCTGCAGTTCGGAGAGATCACACATGGCATGCCATTTTAGTTTTCCCGAGCAAACCGGTAAATCTTTTAACGTGACATGGGCTGGTATATCCAATAACATGGTATCGGCATCATCGTTGGTACTCTGTTCTATGGTGAATTCGATGTGAACATCGGCATATGCCTTCTCATTGATTGCCTTCATGTCCTGAATATCGGTGGCCTCCTTAATCTCCTGTTCCAATTGCATAAATTCATCGTGGGCCTGTTGAAATGTCAACTCTTGCATATTTAGTGGGGGTACCTGAAATATATAGGGGTCGGAGCCCAAGTAGCCAATGCGCAATTTTCCCGTGGGACTCAAGGTAACAATACCCCCAGGCAGGCCCATAATATTCGAGCGTTGTATGGCCACTGGAGATTCGTGTTTAAATTGGGCCGCCCATATTATGCTGGCATTTTCATAAATGAAAACTTTTGATGATTCCGAGACAATGATGGTGATGAGGCGGGCAGTGGGTTCTGGAAAAACAAATGAAACGAAAAATCCAAATTCAAATTGAAATCGAAATTCTTAAAGCCTATGCTTACCCCAATAGTACCCCACCACAAAGGAGTGAAAACATTTGGGAGCATAATCCAGCTTGAGTATGAACTCGACTTTTCCGGTATCGGTGAGGCACATAAAGTTACGTTCTCCCAATATCATTACGTTTGAATAATCCCTGCAACAGAGCATACTTTTAGGCGTTTCGGTTTAATTGGGTGGATGAAATGAACTTACGCTTTAACCTGCACCACATTCATATCCAATATTCCCTCACCCAAACAAACGGTCCATATGGGTTGGTAATGGGATTTATTAATCGAAGAATGGGAGAGATCCTGGTAACTGAAATGAAAAAAATTCGAGGGAACTTATTTCGAGCGAACTTCGGACCACAATCGTGAATTTTTGGAGGGAACTTTTTTTAAGGAAACTTCTTAGAGAAGACTTTTGGGAATTGCTGATATTTAGCGAATCTTTTATAGGGAACATCGAGACCACAACCGCGAGTTTTTCAGGAAAACTTTTTTGAGGGAACTTCGAAGCCAAAATCGTGGATTTTTAGATACAACTTCTAGGCCATAATCGTGGCTTTATATAGAAACAATTAGGCCATAACAGTGATTTTTAGGAAACTTTTTCGAGAGAACTTCGAGGCCATAATCGAGGGAATTTTAAGAAATATTTTTGGAGAAAAAAAATGAGGTCATAATCGAGGGATTAGTGGAATCTTTGGGGTCATAACTATGGATATTTAGAGAATCTTTTGGTGATAACTTTAAGGTAATAATCGACAATTTTTAGGTTAACATTTTGGAAAAGATATCATATCCGTCGATTTTTAAAGGAAATTTTTGGAAGGAACTTCCAGGTTATAGTCGTTGATTTTACAGGAAACTTTTAAATAAAACACCGAGGTTGCAATCGTGGATTTTTAAGAATTAAGGGGGATCTTTGAGGCCATAACTGTGGATATTTAGGGAATCTTTCGGAGGAAACTTTGAGACCATAATCGTCAACAATACTTTGTTGTTGGAGCTTTGAAGCCAAAATCGTGGTTCCCTGGGAGGGTACTTCTAGGCCATAATAGTGGATTTTAAATGAATCTTTTGGGAGGGAGCAGAGAGGCTATACTGGTGCATTTTTAAGAAAAAATATATGAGGGCTCTTTGAGGTCGTAACTGTGGATATTTAGAAAAATGTTCGGAGGAAACTTTGAGGCTATAGTCTTTGGAACATACTTCGAGTTTATAAACGTGGATTTCTTAGTCAACTTTTTAGAAGGAACTTTGAGGTTATAGTCGTGGATATTTTAAGGAACTTTGACGCTTTAAGAGAGAAGTTCGAGGCCATAATATTGAATATGCATTCTTAGAGATCTCCCCAAGTTGTTCCTTTAAAAATCTACGATTTTGGTGAGAATATTAAGTCCATAATCTTGAACTTCACAGGAACAAACTTCGTGGCCAGAATAGTGGGTATTTAAGAAAACTTTTTTTTGGGAAAACTACGAATTTGAATATTGGCCTCTAAGGGGTTTTTCTGGAAAGAACTTCTAGACCATAATCGTGTATTTTGGGAATCTTTTTGAAGGACATAATTGTGGTTTTTGAAGAATTATTTTAGAGATATCTTTGAGGTCATAATTTTGGATATTTATGGAATCTTTCGGATTGAATTTTAAGGCCATAACCGTGGATATAAAGGAAACTTTTTAGTTGCGATTAATTAAGGATAATTCTGGGAGAAAACTTTTAGGTTATTATCCTGGATTTAAAGTCATTTTTCTGGAGGAAATTGCAAAGCTATAATCTCGGGAATTTAAGGAAACTTCTGGGAGGGAATTTCATGGTTATAATAGCGGAACTCATGCAAAACTGGCGCCCAGGTAGCAAAACTTCCATTCAGTTACCTACATGATAAATTTCACAGTTCTGGCTTTATGCATTCGCTAGCACGATAAAGCACATTTTGTACCCAATCAAATCTCGTTTCTACACACCAAACATGGGCCTAGATTAAAGATTCTAAATTCTACTAAATTTCAAAAAGCGTATGGTGGAGGGTATACACCATACTATGGAGGGTATATTAACTTTGTCATTCCGTTTGTAACAATACTCACCGAAATCGTTTGAGATGTCGTATTTGAAGTTCGTAATGAATGCTACAGCCTGTAATAAAAAATTGTCTATGCAGGTCCACTTTGTATATATAGCCCCCATATAACGGTACCTCCCGATATTCGGAACTTTGTTGATTTTAGCGACATCATTCACCTGAATTGTTTCAAATTTGGTATTTGAAGTTCGTAATAGTTCGGAATTGTTTCAAATTTGGTATTTGAAGTTCGAAATGGATACTACAGCCTATGACAGAAAACTGTCTGTGCAGGTCCCAGTCTTCGTATAGCCCCCATATAACGGTACCTCCCAATATTCGGTATTTTGATGATTTTAGCGTCATTATTCACCGTAATAGTTTCTAATTACGTATTTAGAGTTCGTAATGGGAACTACAGTCTGTGACAGAAAATTGTCTATGCATGTACAGGTGTTCGTATACCCCATATATCAGTACCTCCCTATATTCGGTATTTTGACGATTTTAGGTACAAAACTCACCAAAATTGTTTGCGATGTCCCATTTGAATTGTCTATGCAGGTCCACGTTTTATTATATAGCCCACATATAACGGTACCTCCCGATATTCGGTATTTTGATGATTTTAGCGACATTATTCACCGGAATTGTTTCAAATTTAGTACTTGAAATTCCAATTGGATATTACAGCCTAAGACAGAAAATTGTATGTGGATGCCACAGTCTGTGATAGATAATTGTCTATGCAGGTCCAGGTCTTCGTATAGCTCCGATATAATGGTACCTCCCCATATACGGCATTTTGATGATTTTAGCTACATTATTCACCGTTTATTTCATGTTTCGAATTTGAATATGGTAATGGCTTATGACAAACAATGGTTATGTAGGTCCACGTCGTATAGACCCCAACACAGCGGCTATATTCGGTATTTTTAAAATTTTAACCGAACTTTTAACAGATTTTATTTTTTGAAAATTTCCAAATTCGTTCCAAATGGTGGAGGGTATTCAAAGTTCGGCCCGGCTTTACTGCTTTAACTTGTTCATTTTACTGCTTTTAACTCGTTTATTTTGGAAAGTTTCGTACCCACAACCAGTAACCCACACACGAAATTTACCCATATGTTAAATACCATGTCCCAGCTTTAAGTACTTTTCGCAATCTTTTATCGCATGAATGTTTTCAAAACGAAGACGCTTCACTCTCTCCCTCTCTCTCTATCTATATCTCCCTCTGATCCATACTTACGTATAGCACTCCAAATTCCATGCGGAGGCCAGACGAAAGAAACAATCCGTACGTTCACAGTATACCACCGGTGTGGGTAGGGCACGATGACCGGGAAATTTACACTCGTACGAAATGCCGTCCTGTTCGAAAAATGTCAACGAACCATCCAAATGGACAACGCAGAAAAATTCCCTTCCCTTCACCTTGCCAAAGTGGCCTTTGCAAAAGGAAAACGCTGTGCGATGAAAACGATATTCGCTTATTTGTTTCAGGCTCAATTGGGCGCCATGTTCGGCCACACCACCAACATGAACAATGTTGTAGATGGCCAAAGAGTTGGGATGGAGGAGAGCCAATTGATTGGCATTCTCTTTGCGATTGTTTCTGGGGAAAGGAAACATTCCGTTTTAATATTGGGCATGAAATTACATGAAACTTCCCACTTACGCACTAAAACGTCCAGCATATACTCCCAAAATGGGCAGATCACCTTGGATTTCCAGCAGCAGATCGGTGGGCTTGAAACCGGACGAATTGCCATTGGCATCCTGTTCATAACTGGGATAGAAAATACTCAATTGGCCGGTGTGAGAGCCAACCACAATGTAATCTTTTTCCTGTTCCTCCAAGCCAAAACGAGCACACAGTAAACTTGCCACATCGTAGTTTTCCTCCAAATCTGGACACTGTGAGGTCCACCAATTGCAAACGTTAAATAAGGACATTTTTTATTTTTTTTTGTAACTTCGTTGAAGGACCTTTAAGGCTGTTTCAATATTTTCATTTTCAAGTGTAAAGTAATGAATTTTGTGGATATGTCGATCGTTGCTAGGCAACGATTGGTTGTGGTTGGTCGGAAATCCATCAGGTGTTTGTTCAGGACATGTCGTGCGTTATGCTTCAAAATAGGGATGAAAGTTGAAAAGGAAGGAAAAGGAAAAAAAAAATATTTTATAACATAGAACCTTGAAATTAGGCATGTATGTTATTAATGGTACGACATGTACTAGAATGTACTAAGAGCTCCGACAAAGTATGCAGAGAGTTACCAGAGTTGGAACTCAGAAATCTAAAAATTTGTAGGCTACGATACGTTTCATATTTCTAAAAATTAAAACTAAAAGTACAAATATGAGTCCTGGTAAAGCTACTGGTTTATCCTCGACAGTACTGAAATGTGGAATTTTGTTAATCGTCGATGTGTAGGTGTAAACTTTGGGTTCATTTTTAAATAGTTTGGGTTCAACTTGAACCCCAATAGTGACTAAAAGGTAGCATAAGGTACTGAATGCTGTGTTGTTGTATTTAACGAAATATTCGGCCCAATTACCGTTGTCGTTTCTATAGTCGTCGACTTTATGTGCAAGTCGCCCTCACCGTCGCTTCGATTCAAAAATGGTATTAGGGTAAGGCACGGAAGCGACATCGACACTTTAAAGTAAAAGTTGGCAACAATTAAAAAGCGTTGGCAACACTCCCTTATTATTGACAAAATAAGATAAAATTTTGTTTATATTTTGAATTCAAATTTCGTCTCCTTCAAAAAAATTAAAAAAATTAGTGAAAAAATTGGATATTATAAATGCGTTACATATCTTAAGTTCAAGTGAGGACGAAGTGAGAATGTATTAGTAGTGCAGCAGCGAGCGCTAAGGCAGCAAACAAACATATTTTAGAAGGAGCTTATGTAAGACTGGCGCCCAAGTAGCAAAAAGAATTAAAAATTCTTTCTAAAACCCTCATAAATATTCAGAACATTTCCCACTGGGAGAATGACTGTTCCAAAACTCTCATTCAGTAGCCCATATGATAAATTTCGCTGTTCTGGCTTTATGCATTTGCTAGCACGTTAAAGCACGTTTTGGACCGAATCAAATCTCGTTTCTACACACCAAACGTGGCCCTAGATTCAAAATTCTACTAAATTTCAAAATGCGTACTTTTTATACCCTCCACCATACCATGGAGGGTATATAAACTTTGTCATTCCGTTTGTAACAATACTCACCGAAATAGTTTGAGATGTCGTATTTGAAGTTCGTCATGGATGCTACAGCCTATGGCGTGCGGGTCCTAAGGCAGCAGCGAGTGCTAAGGCAGCAAACAAACATATTTGCATTGCCTGAATCTTGATTGTGTTGTTCGAATAGTTTATACTGCCCTTTCAAGAGTTCAATAGTTTCTTCTTTCCTTGATGACTTTTTATACCCTCCACCAAAAAAGGTATGGAGGGTATATTAAGTTCGTCATTCCGTTTGTAACTCATCGAAATAATCATTTTAGACCCAACAAAGTATATATATTCTTGATCAGCGTAAAATTCTAAGACGATTTAGCCCTGTCCGTCCGTCCGTCTGTCCGTCTGTCCGTCTGTTGTAATCACGCTACAGTCTAAACGAATTAAGATAGGAAGCTAAAACTTTGCACAGATCTCTCTTTTGTCTGCAGGCAGGTCAAGTTCGAAGATGGGCTATATCGGTCCACGATATCGTATAGCCCCCATATAACGGTACCCCCGATATTCGGTATTTTGATGATGTTAGCCACATTTTTCAATGGAATTGTCTGAAAATCCACACAAGTAGTTCCTTGTGGGTACTTTATACCTCGGCAGAGATTTATCTATATAGGTCCCCAATATCGTACAGCCCCCATGTAACGGTACCCCCACGGTATTCGGTATTTTGATGAATTTTGCCACATTTTTCAATGGAATTGTCTGAAATTCCACAAAAGGAGTCCCTTGTGGGCATTTTACCTTCACAAAAAGAATTGTTTATATAGGTCCACGATATCGTATATCCCCCATATAACGGTACCCCCCGATATTCGGTATTTTGATGATTTTTGCCACATTTTTCAACGGAATTGTCTAAAAATCCACACAAGGAGTTCCTTGTGGGTACTTTATACCTCGGCAGAGAATTATCTGTATAGGTCCACAATATCGTATAGCCCCATTTATAACGGTACTCCCCTATATTCGGTATTTTGATGATTTTAGCCATATTTTTCAATGGAATTGTCTTAAAATCCACACAAGTAGTTCCTTGCGAGTAATTTACCCCCTGAGAGAGAATTTTCTATACAGGTCCACGATATCGTACATCCTCCATATAACGGTACCCCCCGATATTCGGTATTTTGATGATTTTACCCACATTTTTCAACGGAATTGTCTGAAAATCCACACAAGGAGTTCCTTGTGGGTACTTTATACCTCGGCAGAGAATCATCTGTATAGGTCCACAATATCGTATAGCCCCATTTATAACGGTACTCCCCTATATTCGGTATTTTGATGATTTTAGCCACTTTGTCCAATGTAATTATCTGAAAATCCATACAAGGAGTTCCTTATGAGTACTTTACACGCAGACATAGATTTGTCTTTATAGGTCCACAATATCGTATATCCCCCCATATATCGGCACCTTCCTATATTAGATATTTTAAAGATTTTAAAAGAATTTTTATTGGATTTAATTTTTTTGAAAATTTTCTAATTCGTTCCAAATGGTGGAGGGCATTCAAAGTTCGGCCCGGCCGAACTTACTGCTTTTTTACTTGTTATCATTGTTTTTTTCTGGGCGATCGAGAAGCTTGGATAGTAGTTACATCAGTCTCGTCATCAGCATTGCCCATTGGCTCATTTTCATGATCTATAACGTCCGTTACAATTATGTTTTCCATATTTTTTATTCCAAGAGCACGACCTGGTGGATTCAGTAACTTTTGACACTGCATTACATTCGCGAAGAACTCCTCCCAAAGCGACAAAGTCATTTGCTTAAAAATACCACCTCCAGTGCTGCTGGTTTCACCCTATTGTGCACAATTGTTTTTTAGTTTTAAATTTTAAATCTTTTCAAACCTAGAAGAACTCATGGTAAAATTAAGAAGGTAAAGTCCTTTCAAATAAGCATTCCCATCTCTGCATTTTCTGCAATTTACCTTGTCACATTTCATTACAATAAAACAGATTTCCATCTCTGATTTGTGTATGTACAATGAATTAATAAATACAAATGTTGACAATAAGATGTTGTCAAATGAAAAATTTTTGAAAAAAATGTAAACATATGATTGCATGACTTTACCTCCTTGACTCTACCAAGGAAGAACTTTAGAAAACTAACTAATAAAAATACACAAAAATAATTTTAATTTTGACATACTTTTTGCCAGTCTCTAATCGGTGACCCGTTTACATTTAATTTTGTAGCAATGGATTCCAATCTGATTTAAAATTAGCTGGAAAATGACCTTTGGTAAACCCTTTTGCCAAACATGTTTTTTTTTCCAATTCGGAAACCAACATTTCAAATTGTTTTGCTGTTGTTATTTTCATGGTCAAAAATCAAATACAAAAAAGTTAAAATATCAACGTCGACTAAAAAATACAATGTCGTCACAATTTTTTACGGCGACAGATTTTCTTAAAAATCGACTTCACGTCGACTGTTGTATCGACAATTATAATAGCAATCATTTGTCGCTATCGACAAAAAACGACAACCCTAATATCATTATTGTCGCCTCGACTTCATTTTGCGACGCCGACGACAACCATAATAGGGCCGATTGATTTTTGAGGGAAAAATGAGGTCATAATCGAAGGATTAGTTGGATCTTTGGGGTAATAACTATGGATATTTAGAGAATCTTTAGGTGATAACTTTAAGGTGATAATCGTCAATTTTTAGGTTATCTATTTAGAGGAAACTTCAAGACCATATCCGTCGATTTTTAAGATAATTTTTTGGAAGGAACTTGCAGGTTATAATCGTCGATTTTAAAGGAAACTTTTAAAGAAAACTTCGAGGTTGCAATCGTGGATTTTTAGGAAAAAAATTTAGAGGGATCTTTGAGGTGATAACTTTGGATATTTAGGAAATCTTTCGAAGGAAACTTTGAGGCCATAATAGTATAGTAACTGTGGATATTTAAAAAATAGTCTTTGGAAGGTACTTCGAGTTTATAATCGTGGATTTTTTAGCCAACTTTTTAGAAGGAACTTCGATTTCTAAAATTAAAACTAAAAGTACAAAATGTTATGACTCCTGGAAAAGCTAGCTTTTCCCACTCGATACTAGCTTGTTCTCGACAGTACTGAATGTTGAGTAACGTCGATGTGTAGGTGTTAAGTTCGGGTTCATTTTGAAAAGTTGGGTTTCAAGTTGAAAGTGGCTAAAAGTACTAAAAGCTAGCAAAAGTTACTGTGTTCTTGTATTTAACGAAATATTGATGTGAGCTGTAATGTTTGGCTTCGTTTTTGGCATTTAAATAAAAATATGCCTAAAAGTACTAAAAGGTACCAAATTCTGTACTTTGATATTTGTGAGACTGAACACACAAAAACTTAAAACTTGGACTATTATAGATGAGTTTGTGGTGAGATATAACATACTTTTCTTAATTCAACTTAAATAGGGACTAAAAGTACTAAAAGGTACTAAATATTATCTTCTTGTATGTAACGAAGGTGAAATAGCAAGAATTCTAAATTGTTAAATGTGTATCACTTTCGAATGTATAGGTGTAAGCATTTTCGGAATTTTAACCAAGGGGGGCTAAAAGGTACTAAATTCCATACAAAATGTTTTGTTCTGTTATTTAACGAAGCGATAAAGCAAAACATCGAATTTTGAAATCTGAATCACTGTTGATGTGTGGGTGAAATATTGGGCTACATTTCTAAAATTAAAACCAATAAGGACTAAAAGTACTCAAAGGTACTAAATGCTGTGTCATGGTATTTAGCGAGCGAGTAAAATTAGAATTCTATAAAATTATGAGATATGACGTTTGGACCAAATCGGATAATCTCTTCTGG